ATAATTTTTTATACATTTACCGGTTTTAGATTATTTTAACGGTTAGTACAGTTTACTAGTAATGTACTTAAATTTACTTAATTTTATTATTTATTTTATTTTCTATAATTAATAAATACTTTCTTCTGTATAGTATATTTTGACACTATTTAATCAATATCTTTATATTTACTTAAATGATTTTTGTTATAAATATTTAAAATTTTATTTAAAATAATATGTGAGTGACTGAATGAGTGAGAGAAAAAAATCAATGAGTGAATGAATTTAAGAAAGAAAGAAAGAAAGAGAGAGAGAGAGAGAGAGAGAGAGAGAGAGAGAGAGAGAGAGAGTTTTAGCCAAATAAATAATATATTAAATTTTTATTTATTTTATAGTTTAGATATGGAAATCAAATGTTGTATTCGAAAATTTAACATTTGATATCAAATATTGAATAACTTATATATAAATATATATTGTGTTAAAACAATATAAAAATGTAAAAACAATTTTTTTATTAAAATACAATATACAGTATTTATATATAAATATTGAATTTTAAAAATTGTCTTCAATTCTAACGATAAGTTTGACTTTTGTTTAATAATATGAATCAATGTCTAACATTAAGACAATATAAAGAAAACAAAAAGTTTAAAAATCTATTGAAATAATAATAATTTTTTCATATTTGCAATTAATTTTTGTTATATTATAGGATATTGTAAGTTATATCTGATAATTTATTTTTTGTTAACAAAATAATTTAGTTTATTTTGACATTGTTWACGACTTACAAAATCAAATTACATTAAATGATACCATTTTAAGTGAAAAGTAGGAGTGATAACTACTAGAAAAACAATTTATTTTAGTGTTATTTTGAAATGTTTTATTGTAAAAATCAAATTAGTTTGTCGTTAAAATACAGTAATATTTAACACGAACTTTATTTAGACACAAGAATTAATTTAGTAAATAAATATAAATTATTTAATAAAATTATTTTCGTTAAACAAAACAATTGAGACAACAATACCAACAAATGTGTGTTCAAAATACAGTAAAAAGTAATGTTTATTGATTTGATTGGTATTTCAGTCAACGATTCGCGAATCACACTAGTGTTGGCAAAAAAGAGAAATTTATAAAATAATAGAGATATTTCTAGAAAGTTTCTAAAAGAAATTTCTATTTATGGGATCCCCATGGTTAATTTTGTTTTCTCGATATTTGTTATCTTTAACATTGTTTTTATAAAAATATTTAAATAATAGTATTTTAATTATTAATTAAAGTAAAAAATTTATTTATTCAATTATGATATAATAAAATGGTGAATAAAATTTTACAAAACTGATTATTATTAAATAATTATAATTATTTATATAGGTTTTGTATATAAACACAATTATATACAAAATACACAATTTTGTACAATACAAATTTGTACATTATATAGTATAATATTATATGTATAGTAGTATGTCTCATTAATATATTTATAGTTTTACAATATCTATAGATATGGGGATCCCATAGTATAACAAAAAAGTTAAATTTCTATAGAAATTTATTCCTGAGAAACTTTCTAGAAACTTTCTCAGGGAAATTTATTAGAAACTTTCTATTTGCCCATCTCTAAATCACACACACATACAAACATTTTTATATTTTAAATTTAATAAAATCAAATCAAATCTATCGTTAATAATGTGAAATTTATCGACAAAAAATAGAGTATAACGTTAATTTAAATATTGCAAAAATAAGACATAAAAATAGTTTTAAAATATTGATTAACTGTTTGTAAGATCTGATTTGAAACACGTACACTGTATATATATACTATATATATACTGTATATATATATATATATATACAGTATTGTAAGTCAAATATAAGCTATAAAAATATATTGTATTAATGTAAGTATAAAATCAAGTCTTGAATATGTTAATTTTATTTTAAAGATATTTTTATTATTTTTTAAGATTTAAAAAATATTGATAAATTTTTTTAATTAAAAACTGTGCACTACTTTTTTTTAATTAAATAATTACTGAACTTAACTTTTTATTTTAAAAATATATTAGATTCTCTATTTTTTAAACTTAATGTGTCAAACCTTACAATCTGCAGCACTGCTAATATATTAATAGTGACAATTGAACACAAAAAATAAATAAATAATAAAAATAGGAATTTTTAAAGTAAAACTTTATGTATATTTAAACTATATTATCAATATATTTGTTATCAACAATAGCAACAGTTAATTATAGAAAGTTTCATTTAATAATATATTTTTTTAGTGAAACACTTTATCTATTGATGTATTTTCTCACAATCTATTAATTAGTTGACTCTTTTATTTAAGTCTAGAGTTGACCAAACTTTGAGTCTTATTATTTATATATATATTTTCTAGTCATTCAATGGATCAGATGAATGGCCATCCAAGCGGTTGTCAATTGTTTTCTTCTAATACCTTATTTTCTTGACTTTCTTGTTGTTGTTGTTATTGTGTTTTATTTACAACAAAAACCGGTCAATAAATTTCAATGACAACGACAGCAAACTTTTTGATCTTATATTTTCAAAACATATATTATATACAGATATTGACTATTCCTCTACTAAATATATAGTGTATTGTCAAATATTATTTTTTGGTCAAACAATAACTAAAGTATAGGCTTTTTATATTTATATATATATAAATCAATATTTTGTACTCAATTGTGGCGTTTTTGAACAAAAATAAATTATATTAAATTCAATAAATAATTTGAGAAAAATAGATTTAATCTGATTTTTAATAATTCAAATATTATTATTATTTATTTTAAAGAGCGTATAATAAAATATTTATGTAAATAATTCAGTTTTTAATTAATTCAAAATTTACTTTACAATAGATTTTCATATAATAAATTTTGAATTTAGTAAAATTGCCTTAAAGGCTATTAACTCAAGTAAATATGAATTTATTTTTATAGATTTATTATTATAGATGTATATAATTGTAATTAATTTGTGAATACTATATGATATTCATATAATATGTATAAATTAAGTTAAAATTATGATTTTGAGAGACACTAAATGATAATGTCTTTCATATTCATAGTCAGTAATAACAATATTTTATATTATTTTTAAGTACACAATTGAAACAATTATAATTTTTTTTATATCATTATAGAATTATTATTATTATTAATATTATAATATAAAATTATTTGCTATCATAATAGTTGTATTAATATAATAGTCATAATATTTAGGCCACAAAAAATATTATTAAATTTGTCTACAATAGGACTGAAAATAATATTATTATAGTAAATGTCTTAACAGACAAAAAAAGTAAAAATGTAATACTCTTTAAAAAATAATAATTTTATTTGTCTATAAAAATTAATTTCAAATTTTTTAAAACTTTTATTATTTAATACTTATTATGAATACATAGCATATTTTTATCTCAAAAAAATTGTTTTATGTCAATATTACAGTTATGTTCACAAAAATAATTTAATTTGACGCCAGAATATTCTTAACGATAATCATAAAAATAATTTATAGAGATTATGAAAGAAAAACTAAAAATATTTATTATTATTATTATTTTTAAATGTATTATTTGATTTTACTTTAATTTTCGACAATTTTTAGACATTTTCAATATATTATATGTCATCTCATGTCATTCATAATAAATAAAATAATTTTTATTAGTATTATTATGATTATTATTGTAAGATAATATTGTGACACATCTATTGAAATTTTAGTGCCATTTGTTTTATTGTTTAGTATAGTATTAATAATAAAATAAATTAATAACATTTTCATATTGTTTTACAAAAGCTATCGTTTTATACACTATTGTTTGCAATAATAAATAAATAAAACTAAAACTAAGTTCAATTAATTTTAATTACTTTTAAAAATAATAAAACAATTTAATTATGTTTTATCAAATAACTYCAATTCAATTAATTATTATAATTATATATATACTCAAACTTTAACAATTGACGTAATAGTTTTCTACAATAAATATTTTGGTTTACTTGATTATTAAAATCTTATTGATATACAATTATATGTTTATGGTATAACATAGATGCAAAATATTTATAGTATTACTTGTTTAGGTTAATAAATTATTTTTATCATTTTATCAAAATAATTTAGTATATTTTTTWAAAAAAATCATTGCAAAAATAAAAATAGTTTATTATTTTATTTGGGATGATTTATTAGCTTTTATCAATAAATTTAAACAATTATAACAATAACTATATAAACTATTAACAACAACAACACATGTGTTTAATAATAAATAAGAATCAATTCTATCATTCAATCGATTTTTCATTGATTTCTTTTTTGGTCTAATTTTACTTTTGAGTGAATCACTGCATACTTTATCTATTGAATAGTATTATTGAAGCTTACAATTCATATATACTACTGTAAACATATAAATATACTTTAAATAATGTACTATAATATAGTGTTAAGAGTTTGTATTTGATTGTTAATCAAGAGAGTAAACCAGAAAAAAATATAATTAAAATGTTGTCAATAAACAAARTAAAGCTTAAAATGACTATTAATGAAAATAAATAAAAAATGATATTATGTTTAGCTAGAAATATCTCATCAAAACGGATTAAATGCTAGAAAAAATTATATTAAATTTTATAACATTATACTAAACTAATGAACTTTTATACAAAAAATAAAGATAATGCAAACAATTTATACTAAATATATTATTATTATTATTATTTTGTAGACAAAATAAATTTGATTTAATGCTTATTTTTTATTTATTTAATAAATAGTTATATTTAAAAGCCAACTGTCATTAACAACGTCGGCTACCATTCAAATGATTTTTATTGTTAAAACAATGTAATAATAAGATTGTCATTTGATGACAAACACAACAATAATAAGTGCATCGGTACTAAAGCACCGGCAGCTCCGCGTGTGGCTAATCCGTAAACAGTTGTATAATCAAAATTGAGTGCATCGACTGATGTGATGAAATCATTAAACAAATCTTATAATAAGGTAAGCAATAGTTAGTACAAAATATTTTTTTTAGTTTTATATTATAATATACTGTATATAAAAAAATCTTAACTTTTTATTAGTTTAGTGTTAAATTAAATGAATGAAACAGAAAGAAGGAAAGAAAGAAAGTATAGAATAGTATTGTTTATACTATATATAAAATTAATGTAATAATAGAGTAATTTTTACGGAAATAACATTACAAGCGACTCATGTATTCAATTAGTCGGTCAATGTTTTCATTTTTATTGTATGATTTTATTATATAATTTTATTTATTTTTTTAGTTGAGATTATTATAGATTGTATGACACATTATATTTGTAAAAATATAAAAATAAAACAAATAACAGAATATAACATCTAATCATATCTTATAGTGAATAAATGTTTAAAATGACTTTAAGTCTTTAAATTAAATTAAATTTTATATTTATATTTTTTACTTAATCTATTAGCGCAAAAATAATTTATTTTTATTGAAAATTAATAGGAAATAATTGTTCAAATAATAGTAAACAATAGGATAGTAAAAGAATTTAAAGATGAGATAACACTATATTATTGTGAATTTTGTAAACATTACATAAAAAATATCAACTTTGTTATATCTTATTGTGGCAAACAATAGCATAATATAGGGACAGACATTTGAGAAATTATATAWATAAATACACAATATATTATAAATAGTACTAATATATAAGCAAATATAATAAATATATAAATGTATTTATATGAAGATTGAGTGTTTTACTAGAAATACTCAATAAAAGTCAATTACTATTAGCAATGGATAKAATGCAATAGTTTCCGGCAATAGTTTTTCAATCTTATACTATATTGAGAAAAAATATCACATATTTTTTGTTTATCCAGCAATTTTTGAGCTCTAATATAATGTATTGTTTTCATTTCTGGATATTAATAAATTTAATAATTTTAAGAACACATAAATTATATAATAAATAAATATATATGTATACCGCTATATTAAAAAAACTACGATAATTCTTGATTACAATGTAAACAATATTTTAATACTTTTTTTTGTTGAGAATATGTTGAAAGTTTTTTCTAGAGATTTAATAAATATATCCTTTAGATAAATGGTAACACCTTTATATCAAAAATATAATTCAATAAATTGCTAAAAAACATTATACTTTACTAATGTTTTATATATATTACAGTACTGTTTACACAATTTTTGTACAATACTATACAATATTATTCTATAATAAAAATAGAAAGAAAAAATGAAACTTTTTTTTACAATTTTAAGCAATTTATTGTTCTATAATGTAATTTGAGATTATAAATTAAAATAATCTTATAGAAAAAATATATATAATTTTTAATGTATTATGTATAACAATTTGTGTCGAAATAATTTGTGATATTGTATTGCTTATAAATATATTATTTTATCACTTAGTAGTCWTAATTTGTTRACCCAATATCTTAATAATTGGCCCACAATTGAGTCAACAAATTGAAACAAAATGTCAACTTTTGGTTTTTTTCAGAGCTTTAACTAATATAATAATAAAAAATATCTGTATTTTATGAAATATTTGTGTCATATTATAAAAATTATTTGGTGTTTATATCGCCAACAAAAATAAAGAGACGCTTTAATGTCATTGACATCTGTGACCATCAAAATTGCTATACATTTGTCACCCATTTGACCGTTTACTGCATAAATCATATTTAAGTTAGATATTCACATATTGTTTTCATTTCGCTTACTGTTAATTCATTTATTTCATGATTTATAACAATTTTAATAAAAAAAATTATAATATTTGAATTAAATAACTAAATATTTATTTTATTGACTGTAATTTTCAAACATTTTTCAATTTTCAATTAATATTCATCACTTTATAAAAACATATTTATATAAAGGTATAACAAGAAAGACGTTTATTTAATATTATTTAAATTATATTTTTATATTTATATAAATTAATAATTATAATACTGTACAATTTTATAAATTATTAATTAAAATAGTAACTAATAATTTATATTAGATAGATGTTGCAATCATAAATAATACAGTAGAAGTACAGTACACAACAACAACAATAAAATATAGCAAAATTATTATGCAATATATTTGTGTATAATTTATATAAAAATATATTTAATAATTTATTAAATTATAGTTCTTTAATATATATATATATATATATATATATATATATATGCTTATCATAACTTATGTTAAACAAAATAATAGATCAAACATTTATAAAAAAATATAGAGAAAAAATTTGAATGCAAAATATTTTTGTGAATTGTATTGAATATTTGTGATAAATTGTATTAAAATTAGGTTTGTTTTAAATCCATGAAAAATGATTCACATATTTATACTTTCCAAACAAGTGGTAAAAAATAATAGCATTAAAGGGAAAAAATTTACACTAAATTCCAAACAATTTATATACATATTTGAAAAAATAACAATTTTTTGTTTTGTTTTGTCTTTTTTGTTTTTCAAATAATTTATGAACATTTTTTTTGGGCTCAAAACCAATAAATAATAGTTGTGTTGGTTTTATTGTTTCGCAACTTTTGTAATATAAATTATTTTGATTTTTTTTGCAACACTGACTGTAAAAGTRATACATTTTATTCTTGATATAAAAAAAMCATTTCATATAAATGCTTGAATTTCATTCATTCAAAAAATATTATTATTTATATTAAAGTTGAAATTTTATATATTCAAAATGTATAATAATATTAATGTATATCACATTTCCTAATGATGTAAATGTCATTATATGTTTTATAAATTGTTAGAAATATTTTTTTTGGAAAAATGATTTCACTATCATATTAAATAATAATTTAGTTTTAAATTTAAAATTAAATATCACAATTATTATATAAATAATTTATACAGATTAGATTCACAACTAAAAAAAAATTTATTTCTGATAAATGATTTGCTTATACAGTAGTAATTCTGTATTGTCATCATTAAAAAATACTTGTATTATTATGACTATCATTTACAAAATAACTATTTAGTTTATTAATGATATTATTATATAATAGTAATTTTATAAATTATAATAGTTTAAGTTTTTTTTATTGAATTTTAATTTAAATTTAATACACAGTATATTATAATATTTGCTAAAACATAACAAAATAAATTTTATTTTAAAAATCTTTTTATAATTTTTTACATTTATTTAGTTTRTTAGTAAGAAACTTTTTTTAAWAAATGCATTGTATTTTTATTTATAAAAAATTGATAAATACAATAATAAAATTATAATAATGTTCAAATTTTTTAAATAACAGACTTTCAGTATTTATTATTTTGCTATTTTGTATATAAATAAAAATTATTTTAGTTTTAAAAAAATTGTTTTTTATTTTTAGCATAATTAAGATTTAAACAAAAATATTTATCGATTTTGTTTATATTATATATTATATATATATATATATAATATTGATTATAATGTCTTTATATATTTTTTTGTAAATAAAAAAATGTTTATTAAATTTTTTTTCACTAAACAGTTTATTTTGTTTTCCAACATAGTATCTATTGACAAAAAACATATSAAAAAAATATTAAGAGAATTAAAACATAACAAAGATATCCATTTAATAGTCTTTTAATAAATTACTTGAATAATATTCAATTGAAATTTAAGGAATTTGTGTTTATAAATGAATGAATAAATTGAAAGCCAAGATATCAGTTGTGAAAAATTACTTTAATTTTGTTGTTATTTTCTGTGCCGACAATCGTATAAAAGATTGTTTCATTTGTGTGCAACAAAAAAAATCTTTCTTTTGTTGTTTAAAAAAAAAAWTGATTTGCAATTTACTGTATATTTTTTTTACTTTTTTCGCGACTTATTGTAACACTCAATGATTGTGATGTTGTTTGTCTCACCCATTATTTTTTAGGTCGACTCCATTGGAAAGCATTGTCAGCACTGGAACTCCATATCAGTAGACATCACAACCAGCACTGCATACTTCCTATTAGTTGTTTATAAAACGCTTTTATTCATCACATTATTTATACCGAAAAATGTCTGCATTAGAGCCGGTAAGCAAATAATACTATAGTTTTTTTGTCAGTTAATGCCTGCACTTAAATRTAAAATATATATATTAAACAGTTGTTACAAAGTGTATGTTTGTCTTAATAATCTATAGAATTTTTTTAAAAAGATTTATTATATCACAGATTCTATAGTATTTTTTAATAATGTACAGTAAATATTATAAATTTGTCTAAAACTTTTAATTTAAATAATTTTTTATTTTATATTAGATTTATTTTACTATATTTTTTATATATAGACTATATTTGATTCATAAACGTAAACTAAGGTTAAATTGTCTCAAAAAAGTTAATTTTTTATTTTAATAAATCAATCCTTGGTTATACAGTTTTATTAAACAATTTAAATTATTTAGGATAAGTTAAATTAAACTACAATATTAAATATATGTTATTTTCTATAATACAGTGAAGTATGATTTAAGGGGTTATAATGAATCTAATGTATTCATATATTCTACAATAATCTATGTCTATAATAATAGATTTGAAAATTTAAATTTTTTACGTAATGTATGATTTTTGTATAATAAAACATGAATGAAGTTTAATACATGATATAATAAATTTATTTTATAATTTATAAAAATTTTAATTATAATCTACACTATTATTGCATTGACAGCTTCAAAACACTGTATTAGGTATAGGTATTAGATTATAAATTATAATCGTATATTAAATATTTTAAAGTTATAGCATAAAAATCTAAAATTATTTATAATTATATCTATCATAATTAAACAAAATAATTACATTATTATTTAGTAATATATTATTTAATTTATCTCATTTATTAATATCATTTTATCAAAATCACAATTTTTATTTACATTTGTATATTATAAACAAAATAATAATAAAAAAATTTAATTTAATGATCAATTGTAATACATTTAATGATAACAATTTGATAAACGCAAACATATAAGACAAGCTATTATTTTAAGGATTGAGTTGTTAATACAGATATAAAGTATAAAAACTATTTGTTTGACTCATAAAAGTTTTTATTAATTTAGTAGTCATTATATTTGAAATCTTTAAGGAGTTTGCGGCTCATTATTGAAGTAATATATATATATAAGAGAAGTGATTATTGTGTGCTAAAGTAAATTATATATTACTATATACGGTATAATATACTGTATTTATATTATTTAATAGATAAGTATATAAACAGTTTGTATATAAATATATATATATTGTATATTACTATTTGTTGTAACAAATGCAATTAAAATTAATGAATAACTGTTATAATACTTTATATCTATATTTTTTTAGTTTATGTTAATTATATTTTAGTTAAGTAATAACAATAAATTATCTATATTGTAATTAACATTTAATTATAATTTAAAAAAATAAATAAAAATAACACATTTTCAAACTTGTTTTCTTTTATGACAACATTAATTAGTAATAAAATCATCGTTGTATAGCTAATTAATATATTATTTATTACAAATTGATAGCTACTATGACAAAGTAAAATTATGATAGACAATTATACATATTATTTTTATTATGTATGTGTATTATGATTGTTAATAAATGCAAAATAAGGTGAGTGAGTAAATGTTAATTTATTTGTGYGTATGTGTGTGTGTGTGTGTGTGTGTGAGAGAGAGAGAGAGAGAGAGAGAGAGAGAGAGAAAGAGAGAGAGAGAGAGAGAGAGAGAGAGAGAATTCAAAATTTAAATTTCAAATACAATTTATACTTAAATTTGTTTATTATATTGAGTAATACAAACATAAATCATATCTTTTTTGAATATAATTTACTCTATTTTTTCTTTCATTTTAATGATTTGTTATATTTATATTTATGACTATTATATTATATAATAATCAGTGAAACGAAAGTAATTATAATTTACGACTAATAATGTTAATGTCTATCTATTAAATAATATATATCATTTTATTAGAAAATAAATTCCATTCAATTCAATAATAATAATAATAATTTATAAGAAAAAAATAATAATACTTTATTATTATTACTTTTAATATTAATAATAAGCCAGATACTTTTAATAATAAAATAATTGTAATTTAAAATAAAAGTTATTTCATTCAAACTATTTTCTTATTTATTTAAGACAAAAAGTATTATATTATAATAAAAGTTTTTTAATCAATCTTAAAATTTAATGAATTTGTTATTCAATACAAATATTCTATTTATAAATAGAGTTTATGTTAATTATTAACAATGCTTTAACTATTATATATAATATATACAAAGTTTTTGTTAATTAAGTCTTATTGTTTAAAATTCAGTTGAATTTGTTGTTTAAAAATAATTGTTAATTAACTATTGATAGCACTATTTATGAAAAATATTAATTATGTCAAACCAGACTAATGTTTTAGAACATGCCTTCAATTTAATGATTAAATTAAATTTAATTATCTTATTTAGTGTCTATACAATGTATACAGTTATAGTATATATATAGTGTTATATTGTATAGTTTGTCAACTTAATTGACACATCTTTTAAACAAATGGATAAAGTTTTTAATATATTTTATAACAAATAGCAAAAATTATTTATTGAAAAGTGATTTAAATATTGACTAAAGATATAGTTATTTTTTAGAAAATATTTTTGTTTGTATTTTATATACAATATATACAGTATATCCTATATTTTTGTTATAAAATATCAAAATCCAATAAAAATTTTGATAAATGATTCATAATATAATATAGACTCTATACTATAGAGTCAATGTACAGATGAGACCATTATTTCAAATGATAGTCTACTATAAAATATTAAACGAATWTTTACTAAATTCTAAATCATTTGATTAAATATAAATCAATAAAATAGATTTAATATATTATACATAATATATTTGCTTTTTATATTTAGTATAATAAATTTTTAAATGTTGAATAGTATAAAATATATTGAATTATAATAAGAATATAACCATAATATTAAATACAATGAAACAAAATATTTTTGATAGACAAATAAAAATTTATTTAAAACCTAGCTATCTATAATTTTATTATTTTCATTAATTGTGGTATCATCAAAATTTTATTTACATTTAAAAAATAATTTTATTAAAACATAAGCTAAAAAACAATTGAAATATTTAAATAATAAAATCATTTAAAACTTTTTGTATTTCAATTGAATCAATACTAAGATTTTTTTATTTGTTTTCTTAAAGTCAACGATTTTTGATTGTGTTGGTACACAAACACACACACACACACACACACACACACACACACACACACACACACACACACACACACACACACACACACAYACAYACACACAAAGTAAGCACTATTTTTGTGTGTCTTAATTTTTAGGACTATAAAAACCAAAATACAAAAAGAGCAGTGAATTTATTTTAGACGGCAAAGTAAATAATGAAAAGTTTTGTAAACTATTTTTCAAATACTATAAAATAAAGTGAAATGACTTTAAAATTTATGCAAAGACATCGATTTTTGCTATCATTGTATAGCAAACTATATTACAGTTTTAAAAACTGGACTCAAATCTAGAAAATTTTAATTTTGTTTATCGGATAAAATAAAAATCTTCTAAAATATTTAGCGTTTTTATTATATTAAATAAATATATTATACGATATTTTTGAAATATTGATTCAAATTATTAGAAATATAATATAAAATAATGTCTAAAAACATGAACTTTTATTTCTATTAACCAATTTTAAGACCATATTTTATAGAAAAAATAAGTTCAAAGGGTTTATAACATTATTTAAACAAATTGTTTATTTAACTTTTATACTATTTATTATTATTTTTTGACTTTTGAATAAATTTTTTAAATAAATACTAAACACATTTAATAATATAATATTTTACAGTATATCTTAAAAGAAAAATAAAATAAAATGAAAAAATTAAAATTTGTTATTTAATGATATGTAATATATGTTCAAAACTAGTCATAAACTTTTGTTTTTTACTATACATTTGCCGATAAATATTGCAAACATATATTAAAACTTTTTTATATAACACATAAATTTACAATTTATTGTAATACAAGTAAAATATGAGATACTTTTTATAATAATAATAATAATAATTTGAATTCGAAAAACTATTTTAGTTAATATTGTTTTTATGTGATAACAATACAACAAAAATTCAGTATTATTCGAGAATTTATTACACAAAAAAATCAACACAAAAATTGAAAACACGTACAGAATATTTTAGGAATTTTTATTATTTGGTTTATTTAGACATTTGGCCATTTTATCAAATATAAACTTATATATATATATATATATATATGAAATTTTTTTTTATAAAATTTTTAAAAAAATATTATGAATAAGATAACAATTGACATACATTTTGTTGTTGGTTAGACTCTTGAGTTTTGAATTTAAAAAGTTATCAAACTTTCTGAAAGATTAATGACATTTAAGTTTAATTAATAATTTATCGACTTTTAAAAAGTTTTTGGTGTAAAATAAGATAATTTTAAAAAAAGATTAATTGAAAAAATAATAATTATTATTTTATAGTATTAAAAAAAAGTTGCAAACATTGAATTTATTTGATTCATCGTTATTTTATTGATAAATTGTTTGTTAGTTGTAAACTTATATTGAATTATTTGTTTTAATGATTTAAATGATAAGCAATGAATGATTTATAATATGTTGTGACTAATGCTATAAAAAAGACAGAAAACAAAAAATAAATTAAAGTTTTAAAACAATTTACAACATTTGTGGTCTAAAAATGACCCTTTGGTTTGACACCAGTCACTCACAACAATATAATAATGTATAATATATTATATAATATTAAGACAAATATAGGATTAGTGATAAAACCATAGACAGATCAATGAGTTTTTATAAAAATGACAATTATTTATTATTTATACCAAAATTTATCTAAAATTTAATAAATACATTATTATTATTATCTATTGATAATTACTAATTTTTTTTGTTACTAATAATAAAATKATTTATTGCAAAAAAATCAAAGATTATAGTAATTATTTATGTATTGTTTTATTGGAGACGATTGTAAAATTATTATAAGATTAAAACTAAGTATACATTAATTTTAAAAAAGATTAAAAATTAAATAATTGTCAACAGGTTGTGATTGCGTGACATTTGATGACACATTCAATAAAGAGTACGGTATGTTTACATCACCCAACTTTCCCGTCCAGTACGAGGACGGCATAGACTGTTTGCTATACATATTCATTGCCGACACCAACCAAATGGTGAAAATAACTTTCCAAACGTTTGATGTGTCTAACGGTCCACAAAAAACCGATCAAACTATTGACAAGTAAGCGATCATTATTTGAATTTTTGTGTATCTTATCAATTGGTTTTTATTGTCGTTTTTTGTATTTCATTTGATATGATATTATTTGAACCGTAAATTCAATCTATAGATACGGCAAAAAATAACTATAAAGTTGTTTAGAGACCGACATTAATTGAATGACACCCTTAATGACTCATTTATGTAATACAACTCTCTCTTTATTGTTATTTTGGTTTTATATATATAATATAGTTGTCTGAGCGGTGATTACGTCAAATTGTTTCTCAATCAGCCATCGGGTGATACAGCTATCAATGAGTACAGCGAATGGAGTGCCGTAATGTGTGGCCGATCGCTGGCCGACGCCCGTAGGACTCATTATTCGACCGATTCGGTTCTGGTCTTTGAGTTTCATACGGACGAAATCAGTACCAATAGCACCGGCTTTAGCGGTATCTATCAGTTCGTCAATAAATCCAGTTTTGTTACCGATGGCCAACTGCTAAGTGGTTCGCAGTGTGACTACGGTTTTATACGACTGTCCACTAATGACTCCATGTCCGGCCATTTTTATTCGCCAAATTACCCGTCAAAATATCCGCCAAATGTCAACTGTGGGTATCATTTCTTTGCCAAATACAACGAAAAAATTAAAATAGTCTTCGAGTCCATTCAGCTCATGGATAACGATCAAAGGTTTGGCCACAAAAAAAATTATCATTTATTTAAAAATTAAATCATAAGTAATGTATTTTATTATTGACTAAAAGTGTTATTTATCTTAATTAAGTCATTAATGTAGTATTTTTATGAATAAATCATAATAACATTAATAGTGTATATATTTTTATCATTTTTTTTATTTCACGAGTTTTTTTGGTGACAAACAATTTTTTCTGCTGTTTGTGTGTTCGTGTGATTTATGTCTCTATTAATTCAGAGCTGTTTATAACAATAGAAAACATAATATTTATTATTTTTATAATAATTTATTGCTTTTTTAGTAAATTACTTTGTTTTATGATTAATATAACTTATATACTGTACTGTATATATATATACTAATAATATTTAGTTATACAGTATTGCAAAAGTTAAAGTAATTTTAATAATATATCTATTAAATATGACATGGGTTAATTATTTGCAATCAATTTTATTATGCACAGTAGTTTAGTTTAATATTAATATAATCAAAAGTTATGAATTAGTTATGAACTCATTTTGTTTTTTAAAAAATAAAATGATTAATCATTCATAATATTATTTATACACACATATCGTATAATTTTGTGTTTTTGTTGTTGTTGTGAAAAGAGAGAGAGAGAGAGAGAGAGAGAGAGATATTTTATGAACAAATTTTTTGTTATTATTTGCTTAGCGATTAGACAAACAGTATAGGAAAAAAATAATTAATATAATTTTTATTGTGAAACTGTATTACTATACATTATGGATAACATATAAATGGACATTCAATTAATGATAACAAATTGATGACACCATTTGAAACAACAATAGCATTCATAATTGACATCCCAGTGTCTAACTGTTAGATTATAAGTTATCTGTATCTCACAGTTAATGTGATCTTATATTTATTGAATATCAAGTGTAATGAGATGATTGTCTTTTGTCAATGACTACATATTGTACAGTATATCATAAATAATATGATAGTATAGTACATAAAGCTATTTATTCATTATATGCATCAATAGTATTGATTACAAATGCGTTTATAAACGTTATAACATATGTTATAAGTATGATATTATACAATAAGTTAAACTAATAGTCAAATGGGAAATTCTAGCTAAAACTATACTTGAATTGTATATTTTATATATAAACTAATACCGATATATATCATAATAACAGTGTATACTATATTAGAGTCATATACCCTTTTATATGTTATTTGTTATAGATATTTGTTATATCTATATCTAAATCAATATTAGTATAATTCCTAACAATTCTGGCTAATAGTTAATGTTGAGACCAAAGTTATTGTTATATATATTTGTTGTTCAATGAGTGCAATGAGTGAAAGCATTAGTTTTCTCAATTCACTAGAGATTTGGATCATATGATTGATAAGTTTTCTCTTATATTTTTTCTGATACAAAACTTTTAATAAGTTTTAGTAAAACATACACACATTCAATATGTCTTTATTCAAACTGTGTGATACAGTAATATAAATATATATATATATATATTATTAAAATCGACAGTAGGAGAAAAAAATGGATTGAATAAGTAGTCTAAATATATTGTAGAATTTGATTATCCGATAATTATCTTTAGCATAAACTATAAAAACATTATGCAATACATAAAAATCATGAAAAGCATTACATATGTCATAAAAAATAATATTGGATTGGAAATTAAAAAAAATGGAAAAAATAATAAAAATTTTTGACACTACATTTTTTAATACTTAGTATTATAGTTTTATTGCTTTTAATTTAAGATTAATATTGTATATTGATAAATTGGTCAATCTAAGTTAACATAATATTAAAAATTATTTTATTTTACCTATACCTTAACTGTGACAAAGTAAAAAATATTTACAAATATAATACATATTGAATATTTTTACTTAAATCCTAAAATATTAATTAATATATTATACAATTATTTTATTTATAAATTTCTATTAATACAATCTAACCTTAAAGCCAGGTAACGGCATCTGCTAATTGTGTGAATGCAATAAAATATTGATTTTTTTGTGGTGACTTTAATCACAGTCACAATATACCACTTTATAACCATACTATAAGTTAATATATAATTGTGTTTACAGTTGTCGCTACAGTGAGGATGTCATACAAGTTTATGACGGCAAAGATTTAACTGCACCACTAATCGCTCAATTATGTAATCGCCAGACATATGTACCAATAATATCGAGTGGACCCGACCTATACATCGAGTTCAAGACCAGTTCCACTCATCCGCTTTATAATGGTTTCAAAGCCTCCTATTTGTTTGAACCCAACGAAACTAATCAACAATTAGTGTATGCCATCAGCACCACTACCATAGATACTAATAAACTAGAGATCAGTCAAATACCACAAACAGGTATATTAATTAACATTCATACTATTAATACTCATAATATTGCTAATAATTAATGTCTTTTAATTATCAAAATCAATATTACAAACTATTTTCAAATAATTAATAATTTTAATTTTGACTACAGAGCCGGTTGAAGATTTGCTTCATAAGGATGAGACCACACAATCATCTAAAAGTAAGTCATTTATAATAATAATTTTAATACTATAATTAATAATATACTGATTATATTGTATACTATAAACAATATTATAATAAATTATACAAATTATTACTAAATAATATGAAATTTGTATATAATTAAGTTATATTTGATAATAATTAAGTCTAACCAAACACACAATTTTTGTATTTTCGGCTTAAATCTACATTATAGACAGCCAGCAAAAAATTATTGTTTTTTATGCAGTTATACATATATAAAATGTTAGTTTTATTACTTAATTATTATTTAGTTTGGGGTGAGTGTTAGGTTAGGAAGTGTTTGGGTGGGTGGGGATGGGGTTTGGGGCAAATAATTTTCTACTGGCTGTCTATAATATAGATTTGTTCCGTACTTTAATTTGGTCATTGTTTAACAAATTATTGATTACAAATGCAAATATTCAATGTACAGTACACGTGCATAATGTAACGCACGTGCTACTTTATATAATTATTAGTGCAACAATCTCGCGCAACAATAGTTGATAAACAAATAAAATWAAAAWAAAATTAATTTAAATGAAATAATAGCTAAAAGGGTGTGAAATTTCACATAATTAACATCAAGGAGACAGACAGTGGGAACAGACAGATAAACGGTATCCGTTAGACACAAATAGTAAGATATGTCAAAATCAAAGTCCAAAGACCACACAGAAACCAATACCGAGGATGAGTTGACCAATGAGGCCAAGAAATTCTTAGATGAAGAATATCATTTGAAAATTATCAAATTTTTGGGTTCCGGTGCCTATTCTAAGGTATATAAAGCTGTCGATTATGACAAAGTCGGTTATGCCATAAAAGTGATTGAAATGGATAAACAAGACGAAGACATACGCACTGAGTTTATTCCGCGCGAATTGCAGATTCTGAGTGATGTTCAAGACTGTTGTCATCCAAACATTATGATGACATTTGGTTACCAACCGTTCGATAACTATTTGTTTATCTTCTGCGAGTTGGCCGACGGCGGTGATCTCATCTCAGTGCTCGACAAGACACGCGACACTGATCTCGACCCCCAAATCATCCAACAATGGTATTATCAAATAGCCAGTGCCGTCAATCATCTGCACCTATTAGGTATTGCGCACCGGGATATCAAGCCGGACAATGTTATCATATGTAATGGTACGGCCAAACTGTGCGATTTCGGTCACGCCATCTATGGCGTGAAATATGGTTCCAACGGCTCGTACGAAATGGTAATGACAGATCACGCGTGCGGTACTCTTGAATATGAGGCGCCCGAAGTGATCGCCTGTGAATTACGCAACGAATCGTATGACGCGTTCATTGCCGACAGCTATAGTATGGGAGTCGTACTCTATCTGATGGTTACCCACGACTTCCCATATAATTGTGAAAACATAGACGTCGATAAAACAGATGACATGGACTACCACTACAACAGAGTTATGAATAGCGAGTGGACTATTGAACAGAAGTACAAAACAGATAGACTTTTGTTAGACTTATTGACGCATCTGTTAGAGCCCTCACCCCTTCAAAGACTACATGTTTTTGAGATATTGAATCATTCGTGGCTTTCATCGGATGTCAGCAATAATACCTGGTCTTTGTTCGGCTCATAACAACCCATATATCATATTCATACCAGTGTTTTGCGTACAATAAATGATACTTTAAAAAAATATTCCGGTATATACTCAGTACATATGTTCAATAAATAACATAATCAGCAAAATAATTAATTGAATTAAAAAATTATTAATAATATCAGAAATTTAATATTTATACAATATTATGATATAATAATTTACTTCTAATTGACAATTGATAATTAAATAACTTTTATTTTGGGTGATGTACTGTATATTATAAGATAGTAATATTGAAAATCATTTGAATTATAATTACAGATATTATTGTTTAATGATAAAACATAATTAAAGTTTGGATTAAATGAATTAATTCAATGAGATGTTAGGCTTCAATGTGTTTTGATTTTCTAATTAATATATCTTTCGCTTGAATGCCATAACATTAGATGTCTTACATTACAATATATATTCAAAAGGAAAGTTAGATTTTATTTTTATTCTATTTCTCCATTCATTTAGTCTTTCATTTCCTGAATCTGATTCACTGTTAGTGATCAGCACAAGAATTATTGGTTGCCATTGCCTTTCCTTTTATGTTTCATACATACAGTTAGACTATAAACTACAGGAGCTAAGTATMTATAAGAATATATATATATCGATTGAAGCATAAGTTAATTGCAAACTAGTATTCATTTGATTTTATAAAATAATTATTTTATACAATACTTTAAGCATTACTTTCATTAACTATTAATATGTTTATTGTCTTTAATGTCTGAATTACTGATCATTAAAATTGTATATAAAATTGTAGAAAATCATCATTTTCTTACTATATCTAACTATTACTAATATTATTAATATCAATTTTTAATATATCTAAATAATTTTAATTTATATAATAGATATATTAGTTTAGACCTTAGCATTGCCATTAGTACTATTAGTGATAGATTTTTGAATAAAGCATAACATACAGTATATAGCATAACAAATTTAACATATATTTTATATTATAAAATTTGTAAAAGCTTTGAAAATTTATATCAAACAATAAGTGAGATAAACTTATCATTATTAGTTTATTTTTTACTAATTTATATGTGCAATTAAATTTTATAAGCTTAATGACAATGTCTGGTTTAGACTATTTAAGTCAATAACAAAATATTATTTAATAGTTTTAATTAAAAAACCATAATTAGATACAACTTGTTACCGATATTTAAAATACTGACTACAAAATTTAGACTAATTATAAAAATACAGTTTATTGAAATAAATTAATAATTAAATAATTAAATAGATAAATTAAAATAAATGATTTAAATACAGTATAGGTTGTAAAATTAAAATGAATTATATAATATATAAACTTAAAAAAAACTAAACAACAATTTGATTAAAATAACATTGAAATCGGCATCAAATTCGTGAAGTCATGCGCTCTGCCATTGAATCTCTGTTTGTCTGACATCTCATCCTTTAATGTTTTGAACAAAAGAGATGATATGATTCACTATAATATTTCACTAATGTTTTAGTAATTTTGAAGCTCACAAATAGAGTATAAATTATATTACTGTTTATACAAATGTTGAATTAAAACATCTTAATTTATTGACAATACTATTAAGAAATATATTAAAATTTAAACTATGAAATTGTGTAATTATTTCTCAAGTAATTTAAAATTATTTCATTATATCTTGATTTTAAAAGACTAGTTTAATACAATTTATACTGGTTATAAGTTTATACTTATCTAATAATTTAAATATTTTTGCGATGATATCAAAAATTATTATATTTGTTATTTTAATTAATAAAATAATATATTTAACTTATGGTAAGAAATTTTTAAATATAGTATTAATATGATATGAAAATCAATATTTTATAAAAATAATAATAAGTTTATAATGATAACAAACTATTGAATGCTACGTACAATTGAATGAATTTGAAAAGATACTAAAAAATATTAATTAATATGTAATATAATTTTTAATATATATTTAAGTATTTATTTACATAATTTATAATGCTTGATAATTATATTTAATGTAATTATTTTTTGTTTTGCCTAGATTTTTACTAGAATTTAAAATAATTTACTTTTACAATTTATTCATGTAGTAAATAGAGATTACAAAACATTTCAATTACGATAAATTATAAAATTAAATTCAAGAATAAAGAATATGATGTAATTAATATATAATATAAGCAAAAAAAAGATTACCAAAAAAGATTTTATTTATATTTTTATTGTGCAAATAATTATAATTTTATTAGTATAGATAATTTATGATTTGATAATTTATTATACAGTATTATAACTAAACTATATTTTAAATTTGTATAAATATTTTAATCAGAATAACTAGAAAATGTTCATTTAATAGTAACAAAAATCAACTTATATTATATTATACACAGTATTAATGTTTATCTACATTTAAGTTAATGCGTTTAAAAACATCAATAATGATTTAGTGTATATAAGATTCTTAAATTAATTGCTATAAAAAACAAAATGTTTTATAAGTTGTGGACATTGAGGTCATCAAAGATATATTGATATAATTTAAACACAATGTTTAGCTATCATAATATTTTATAAACTTTATAGTATAAAATAATAATATATATTTTTGACATTCTTAACATTTTATATCATTATTGATATAAATTTTTCAAATTATGATTTTTATTATTGATTTATAATTTATATAAAATAATTTATTTTATATTTAATGATTTAACTCATTTTAGTGATATTTTTCTACGATGACTGTTATTTACTAATTATATGATATATGAAATTAAATTTAATTAAATCATAAATTATATTAATGGATCATTAAATTTATTTTTTTTAAATAGATGAATTGTTCAAATGTCAAAAATGTTAAATTAAATTTTATTATCTATCATTATGAATAAATTTTTAAAACTATATTTTATTGTTTGAGTTATCGGAAATAAGATAACTCTGAAATTATAGAGACAAATACTAAATAATGTAATTTATTAGTTAATTAACTTTTAAATAATTATCTTTAATTTGAAATCTCTCACTCTCTCTCTCTCTCTCTCTCTCTCTCTCTCTCTCTTTCTTTCTCTCTCTCTTTCTCTCTATTTCTCTCTCTTTCTTTCTTTCTTTCTCTCTCTCTCTCTCTCTCTCTCTCTCTCTCTCTCTCTCTCTCTCTCTCTCTCTCTCTCTCTCTCTCTCTCTCTCTCTCACACACACACACACACATATACACAATACTTTTAAACATAAATATAATGAATCACTATTTATCTTTATGTAGACTTTATTTGATATTATTTGTTATTTAAAATTGATTGAATTTTGTGAACTTTTATATTTAAGTATAGCCCATAAACTGTTTGAACACATTGTTTGCTTAATATTATGAACACAATAATAATAATAAAGTGCGATGAAAATTTATATCAAATAATATTTTACTATTTAGACATATTGTATAACAATTTTTTTATGTAATACACATTAAAAGCAAGTCTTTTTATTATTACATTTAATATCTGAAAAAAGTTGTCCGGAAGTAAAAAAACGGATGTATTTTTGAACAATATTTTGGTTTATAAGATAACTAACAGATATCTTAAGTAAAATACATTATAAAAAACTTTTATAGTTTTTCATTGTTAATAAAAAAAATTCAATAGTTTTGTTGACTTATATATTACAAATAAAAACTATTCAAAACACATCATATATTCTCTTAGACATAATAATAGTTTATATTTTAACCTTTTTATGTATAAAAGATTTAAATTATTAAAATTATTCCACTTTTATGCGTCTAAATTATAGTAATTTATTTAATGAGTCTTATATTATGTTTGATGTTATAAAAAATTATTGATTTCTTACAAATTTTTAAAGTTAAGTAATTTATTTTGTTATATCTTTAATAAATTACTTTTTTGAAAAAGCATTTTCTAAAAATTTTGTGTTATATTTTAATGACAAATCATAACAACAACAATAATAAGAAAATAATTTTCTGAAATTAGATATTAGTTTTTCAATATACAGTATATATATATATAGATATATCAAACACAATACTAAAAATTTTTTTTATAGCATGAGAACTGAGTGTATCATTAATTTTAAATGTTGGTTTGGATCACATATTTGATAATAAAAAATTAATATATGTAATGTTAAACTCTATGTTCTCAGATAACTTTTTTTTTACTAAAACTACTGTATATTAATATACAGTATATAAGTTATACCCAATTACTATGAATGGCAAACCAAAGTGATGGCCAAAAATATTAATGTCATTTGCAGTCAACATTAGCTGAAGTCCTGAAATTGAGTACTCAACACATCATTTACCAAAAAAAACTATATTTTTTTTAGTAAATAGTTATCATTAATAATGTTTTTCATCTTCAAAACTTTTTGTATAATTTGAATTTAATTAACATAATGTCAATATTTTTTAGTAAATTTTAGAGTATTATCATTTAAAATTTTATAAATTAAAAATTATAATATTGCTATAAATAGTAATTAAATAAAATACAAATTTATGATAAATTAACAAACAACTCAAATGTGTCTAAAGTTTAATTGACATATTTATTATATAATTTATATACAGTATATATATATAATAGTATTTGAATGAAGTAATTTGTTATTCATATTAATTTTTACTCTTATTTACTAAAAATTTAAATTATTTGTGTAATGACACTAATAATGCAAAAGTTTTTTTTGTGAATACTTAACCTATTTTAAATGATTTCATTTAAAATAAATTTTATTCAAATGTTATAAATATATTTATTTACAATTATAAAACTTATTACTATATCTATAAGCTTAAAAAAAGCTTTATAATCTAAATAATTATAATTACAGTATAATAAGTTATCATTATTGATTAATTAATTAATATTAAATGTCATACATAAGATATTAATAGATAAATATGTTTTATATTTTACGAAATAGCTAACAATTGTGATCAACATATAGACAGTTTAGTATCAAAAAATGGCACCTTTACATCACCCAACTATCCCGAGACATACCAGAGTAATATTCACTGTACGTATCATTTCAATGGTCGCGGCAAAGAAAGGATCCAAATATTGTTTACCGATTTTGACCTATACTTACACAACGAGTTTGGACCCATCAGAGAGTAAGTATTTTTTAAAAAACATTTTTAACATAATATAAATTGTATTTTTATTACCGATAATTATTTTATGTTTATAAAATACACTAAATATTATTAATATATCATTATATTGGTTTTAACTAAAATTTTTATTAGATTATCTAATTTTGTTGTTGTTGTTGCTATTACTGTAAGCAATTGCTTAAATTTCAATAGAACTTAATATATCTTAATATAATCTTAATATATTTAATTAGATTTTATGGCACATTAAGCAAAAATTTATGAGTTTTTGATTATAAATTGTTATTATATTCAATCTAATTATATCATATCATATAATATGTTTAATGTGTACTAATTATTGAATTAAGTAATCTAGTAATGAATTATTTCTTGCTATTTATTTAATTGCAAACTCAAGTAACAACAACTAAATCAATAACTAAAAAAAAATAATTTTATTTTTACAATTTTAACATTTTATGATATTTAATGATTATAACTACAAATTTTGACAACAATTTTGTCAAATATATTATTTACAACAATAAGTCGCTAAGCGCTTGAATAACATTTGTCTCAATTGTGATATTTAAGTACATAAAAACTAAATTATATATATATATATTGTCATACAATTTATTTAATGATAAAAGATTATAGAGTTTAAGTTTTGTTAAAACCATTAAAGTTGTGGATAAGGAGTACAAAAAATAATAGACAAAGAGATGACTATTAACTCATTATATTTATCTTATTGTACAGTTTTTGTATTGTAAAGATAATATATATACTAATAATAAATCAATTTATTATTACACACATTTGTAACCTAACAGTTGTGAGGGCGTAGATGTGGTGATGGTTTTCATCACAATTAATGGCCATAAAGAGAGAATCGATAACTTTTGCGGCCAAAAGCTGCCGTCTCAGCTCATGTCTAACGGCCCCTCAATGACTGTTGAATTCAAGTCAACTCAAGCCATCCGTAAAAATAAAGGATTCCGGTATTTACTAATTAATTATTTTAGTATCAATAATACTAACAATTTTTATTTTAATTATTCTGATTTCAGTGCAATTTATCGATTTGTTAATAGTAAGTAAAAAATATTTTATAATAATACAGTAATTTATTATATTTATATAAATCTTGTATTATTTTAGACTTTGGTATAACTGGTGGTACACCTGATGACAGAGAGACAGGTAACTCACAATTAATTTTAATAAAACAGTATTATTTAAATTGATTTTCTTAATCATTGTGTTATTAATATAACCATTTAATCATTTCAAACACACAGTCTGTGGTTTTATCTTCAACAGTACAATACATCCAAACGGTTCATTCACATCACCCAATTATCCCGGTATGACATTTATTATGCATATCTCATAGATATTTATATATATCGCAAATATTTGTGTCCAGGTCTATACCCACGTGATACTGAATGTCATTATCATTTTTATGGACAGTCTAACGAAAAAGTTCACATAACGTTTGCCTATTTTGATGTCGAAGGAGTTCCACCGTATGTTTTCCACAACAATTAAGACAACAAATTTTAGTAATTGATACCAAAAATATATATATTTGTCAATATTTTTGAAAATATAGCTGCGATTCAAATACTGCCAGTGATTACGTTGAGTTCAGTAATTATCAGACCGTTGACCGGAAAATGTCGCGAAATTGTGGCGTAAAGACACCGAAGAATGTCAAGTCTGACAACAAGTTCTTTCGTATCGCTTTCAAGACTAACGACAAGTTTGACGGCACAGGCTTTGAGGCTTTCTATCAGTTCCGGGCCAACGATGGTCTGTCTATTTAATCCAATTTATATCATAAGACTATTTTTAAAATTATTATTGTTTATTAATTATTAGATACAAGTACTAGTATTCAAAAAATATCTACTTTTGCCACAAGTCATGCCAAAGGTTTTTAATTATTTATTAAATGATTTTTGTAATTCATTTCTAATTTTTTAAAAATAAATTTATATTTATTTTTCTCAGATACAAGTAATTACTGTTTACGATCACAGCTCACAATCATTATATCGCTAATCATTATTTCATGGCATTTGAAGCGAGCTTTCAATTTGTTATTTGCTTTTTAAACTCATTTATATAATATTTCTGTAAATACAAATATATATCTTGTATAATATATATACATATAGTTTCATACATTATATAAAATGCAATAAAAACTTTTAATTAGTTGAATGTCAATCAGCAATTGATAATATTGTATCAGAAATTTAATAATGAGTAGTTTTTTAGTATTTAAAAATGTTGTGGAAATGCAAATAAATTTAATATTTATTATATTATATATAGTATTTGTTATATTGAATAATGTATTAAACAAATAAATAAATTTGTATATAACGTGATTTTCTAAATAAAAAGATATTTTTAGAATAAATTTATAAATCTGTGTATATTTATTATATTTTTTAAAAAATATTTATTACTGTACTTGAATTTTCAACTTTTGAGTTAACATATGATTACAGAAATTTTATATTGCAATTTGATATATTTACCGTAAGTTAAAATTAGCGGTAATTAAAATTTTTTGACAAATTCATAGTACGGTAGTATAGATAATTTATAGTCAAAATGTTTTATTTTTAAAACAAAATAATCTAAAAAAAATTTAAATTACAAAATATAAAATGACAATACTAAAACATCACATTTAAAAAATTACATCAATTGAGAATTTAAAGATATCTTAAATTGAATCCATTTTATGTATTTAGTAATTATTAATCAATAATAATTTACGGTAAATGTTTACAATCATTGATTGGATTATTATTATTATAATTAAAGATAACAGTTGTTTAGCGAAACATATTTTTGAAAATTAGTAGAAAATTATTGATGTTTTGATAAATCAATCACTTCTTCTCCTTTTATGTCTCGAATGCCTTCTATTATCTCTATGTCTGTGATGTGATCTCTGTCTGCTTTCATCTGACGATGGGTTAGAGTCTGAATCAGAATCGGATGAATTAGACGACGAGGACGACAGTGATGATGATGTCGATGAAGAGCCTGAAGACAATGATGTCGAAGACGTACCACTTGATCCACTTCGTGACCGATTCCGATGCGAAACATTTATCATTGGCGATGGCTTTGACGCATCACTCGATGTAGAACTGCTGTCTGACTCACTATCACTGGTTGCCGAAGACGATGCCGACGATGAACTGTTGGCCGCATTTTTCTGTTCGTTTAACTTTTGTCTGAAAATAATAAACAATTGAATCAATTAGTAAATAAACAACAATTCATGTCTTCTTCCTAATAGATATCATACAATAGTTTCAGTTTTGTCTCTTCTTCTCTTTGTTTTAATCGCTTCTTCATAATAGCCGTTCGCGACAATCGGTGAACATATTTGCGTTTACCGGTGCACTGGTAGGTCCAGTGACCCATATCTAGACATTTCTGGCAACGAATGGTCGATAAATCCACACTAAAGAAAAAAACACAATAAAGTAATCAATTGATAATTTAGTGTCCAATTTGTTTCCGACGACCCGACCAACCAATAGGACCGGTCGGTCAGATACCGTATGTTTTTCAACAACAAAAATGTTGACAAACCTGTCCTTTTTGTTCATATTGTGTAATACTTGTACTGATCGGTAACCAATCAAAAGCACGTGTTATTGTCCTGTGTTTTGGTCAGCAAAACAATGACCGCAAACAACACCCGTAATAGTCGTTAAATATTTAATGATTGAAATCCTTGTGTTAAACACACAAACACTTTGTGCCGACTATTGTATGATTCGTTCATCAATTACGTCATTATATTTCCATTAATATATAAATATACTGTAAATATAAAACGTTACAAACAGTTGAAAACTATTGAATACTTTTATAATAATTAAATATTAACTGAATATTGATTTAGACTTAAATATCATTTCAAAATAGTTTATAATATTAACTATAATTAATGCAATAAATTAATTATGTAAATAATTTATTTTTTTATGCACACAAAAATTAATTTACTTACTGTATTATTAATTTATTGTTTTAAAATTACTATATTTTTAAAAATTTATAATTGTTAATTAATTTTATATTAACCTTAAAGTAACCTAGAATCAAATTTTAGTATTATTATTATTATTATCATATTATGATTATATAAAATATGTATTGATTTAATGTATTAAAATCTGATTTCCAAAAATAACTATTTTTTTCTGTAACATAAGTCACATCTTTATTGTATTCAGTGATGTGTGTTATCATTGATTTCAATCAGTTAGTAATCTTCTTAAGAAAACTTAATTTTTTTTGCAAAACTAATATTTTCATACATTTTAAATGAATCCTCTTTACTGTCAAAACTTATCTGTTATAAGGCATTGAAAAATTTGTTTCAATTGTTACTATTATTATAACAAAGTGTTATCTCTTATATGTCTCTTTGAAAAGTCGGTCCACAAAATAAAAACTTAGTTCTGATATTTGTTTCTTAGTTTTGTTTAGTTTTTCATGGGTTTTCGCAATGCATTTGAGCATAAAATGCAAACTAATCCCAAAAAAGAGTCTTTTCCAAGATATAAAATGACGAGAAATCATAAGATGATAGCCATTGGGGGTCATAACGGAAACACTTGGAGGCGAACCCAAACCCCAATAAGTTTTTGCCTAAATGGTTGACATCTGTATTCATTTAAATAAAGACAGAAAAAAGAAAGAAAGAAAAGAGAGAGAGAGAGAGAGAGAGAGAGAGAGAGAGAGAGAGAGAGAGAGGCGTAAAATCCATATAAAAATCTTAACGATTTGCCGACGAATCGCATGAAAGATAAAAGAGATGAACGAAGAAATGACTTAAAATAGTTAAAAATAAAAGTCAGAAAATAAGAAGAGAAGCGTAATATAAAAATATATAAATAAACACAAAAAAGTATTTTGTTTTGAAATCTCTTGGTTTGTTTGGTATGTCTTTTGTATGCAATTTCTTTTGATGTGTCATTAAAACTGAAACTTATTTTTATTCAATATATATTCAACTATTGTGCTCTCTCTCTCTCTCTCTCTCTCTCTCTCTCTCTCTCTCTCTCTCTCTCATTCTATGTAAGACTTCAATTAAGGCAATCATTACATTTTCGGCGGCACTTTAATTATGAACTTATTTAGCATTCATGGCATACCTCTCTTCGTTTTGAGTGCCTGTTAGACGACCGACTCTTAAATAATTTCTTTATATTTTGAGAGAAAGAAAGAGAGAGAGAGAGAGAGAGAGAGAGAGAGAGAGAGAGATGTCTACTTGTCTATCATTTTGCAATTTTTATTCAATATATTCAATTGATTAGCAAACTTTTTTAAAAACAGATTTTTTATTAACTAAATTTTAAAGTCTTAAATGTGTTTCTATACTAAAGTTTTGATGAATGCTATTTAAAAATAAAAATTACAAAAATGGTGAATTGCTATTATTAATGTAAATTTACAAACAAAACCATTTTAGCGATTTTTTTTATTGAAATACATTTTACATGAAGTGTTAAATTTTATTTAGCTTTTTAGTTTGTATGAGTGTTTAAATGCTTGTTTAGAATTTGGATGAAAATAAAAATAATTTTTATATCATGATTTTGAAAAAGTGTAATTTGTATTTAAAATAAAAAATTAATTAAAATTTTTGTGTAATTTTTCTATCATTGAATGTACAATAAATATCATAACAATGTTAATTTGAATACTTTTTATAAAAACAATTAATTAGAGTTCGGACAACTTTCCTAGAGAAGCAATTTCCCTAATAAAATTTCTCCAATTTTCACTAATGATATGGAAAATTTTTTATTTTCCCTCCTTTCATCGTTAGAAAGGATAATATATTTTATATTATTACAATAAATAATACCAAAACTTAAATAACTCATAGAACTTCATAGAACTTCATAGAAATATTTAAAAATAAATTTCATTTCAATAAATTTAATAATACTTTTTATAAATACCACTTACTTTAATATAGAAATGTATCATTAAATTTATTTTATTTAAGTTTAATACAGTTTAATATAACATTTGTTTTTCAAACATTATTAGAACATTTGATGTTTAGTATTCAATAGGTACAAAACACAAGCAAATAAATTCTCTAGGAATTCCCAGGGAACATAGGGAACATAGGGAACATAGGGAACATAGGGAACATAGGGAACATAGGGAACATAGGGAACATAGGGAACATAGGGAACATAGGGAACTTTTGGAAAATAAAACGATAAAGCCTAGTAGTAGTAGTAGTAGTAGTAGTAGTAGTAGTAGTAGTAGTAGTAGTAGTAGTAGTAGTAGTAATATAAATAACTATATAATATATATAATATATAATATATAATATATAGTATATATACATATAATCAATACTTTTATTTAGTATCTTTAGTGAAATTTGCAAATAGTTATTGTTTTATATTTATTGTTATAAACCAATTCTCAAGTCACTAATAGTATGTATTAGAAATTGTAAAATATATGAATAATAAAAAACATGTTTTGATAATTTAGTAATTTAAGTTTTATAACACTTTTGGTTGAATTATTGAGTGCTAAAAAATTACATTATTCTTTATTATTACAATTTTTAAAGATAATATTAAAATAATGTATAACTGTATAATAAATTGATAAACAAGGTATATTGTAAATTGTATAAATTGTATGACTGAAATTATTATTTATAATATTTTATAATATTAATGAATTAAACTTTCAACTAATGAAATTTTTTTTAAATGTTTGTTTTTTATTATTCACACAAATCATTACTTAAAAGTATTTAAAATACTATAATCTATAAACAAAAAAATATTAAAATGATTACTAATGATAATAACACATTGTGTTTATATTACAAGAAATAAATGTTTAATTTATAATTTAACAGAAATAAAATAATAGTTAAAACATAAGAATTTTAAGGCTAATTAGTTTGTCAAATGAGAAATTGATTTATTAGCGTTTATAATGTATTATATAAAAACATTATCTTTAAAGTATAAATTAGCAAAAAAATGTTATTAATGCTAAAGATCATTGTGACAATCATTATAATTATAAGTGTTTTTATATATTAAAAAAAGGATAGACAGTGTCTCATGTCTTAAGGCAAGAGTTAAGGGAACTGATAGTTAAAAAAAAAGTTAACTTCAAGTACTGTAGTTGGCTATTGGCTACATATATATATATATATATATATATATATATATATATATATATACTGGTGGCATTGAAATAATGAGCAAATATTTTCACAATTTTTTGCTGCCTATCAAAACACCTTTTAATTACTAATTTTTTCTCATCAATCGCACAGACATAAAAGCTACCGAATCTTTCACTTGTTTTTATTTTTGGTTATTTCTTTGCGTTTTTCTTTAATGACTTTGTGTCATGTTTTTGCCAGTCATGTCAAAAAAAGTATCGGCAAATTTGAATACTAATTATGAAAATGTTATGTTATTTTTATATATTATTGACTAACATATAAAGTTTTTTAACTCGAAGACAAATATACATTACACGGTTAGAATGGATGTGCTTTTTCATCCCTTTCCCCTTTCGTCTTAAAGATTAATAACTATTTTTTTTGGGAATACACTTATATTACTTTTTACTACATATAAAAATAAAGTTTATTATACAGTATATATATATGATAGAAAAATAAGGAGAGGCTGTAAAATAGTGTATTAATTTTTATGGATATATTTTGTAAGTATTTTTCTCATTTAGACAAATATTAATATGTTGTTAGCCATTCAGGTAATACCTGTGCTATTTGGCAACGATATGAATGTTTTTGACTGATTGATAGCGTATATTCTCCACACTTATGGTGTGATTGCTATCCGTTCAATCAGTAATTACATGATTGAGGAGAGAAAAAGAAAAAAAAGGAGTACTGATTAAGTAGGCCTTAAGGAAAGCTAGATATGCATCACCTGAAAGGATCCCATTATATAAAAGGTGTGACTCAAACATGTAAAGGAACTCTTAATGTTATGTTATGAGAGATAGACTAACTATGAAATGGTCTATTCATAGCACAGGCATATTATGATTATCACTAATGGGGCCGAACCCGCACGATAGGTATAAAACCATTGCTTATGCATTGCATATTTGCACATCAGTTGTGTAAAACTCAGGGATCATATCTATTCATACAATCCATCAAAGCCAAGGCCAGTGAAAGCATACATTTATACTTATTTATATTGTATTATAAGACTTGAGAGAGAGAGAGAGAGAGAGGAGAGAGAGAGAGAGAGAGAGAGAGAGAGAGAGAGAGAGAACAAAATATAAGAAATGGTATTTTAAAAATATTTGCTGAATACCTATATATTGTATTTTAGATGTACTTTAGAAAATAGTTTAATGAAAACACTGTATTATATAAAACATAAAATATTTCTTATATAATATTTTAGCACCATTTCATTGAATCACTTGATAGCCCGGAGCCAAGCTTTGCCAGTGTGTGCGCTCTTTTTATCTCTTAAATAGTGATTCCCTTGCGCTCATAGATTAGGACATATGCTATCCTATGGTAAAAGGTTTCCGCAGCTGTTTATATGTATGAGTGAAGATCACCGACAGATACTTTAAATAATATATTAAGAGCCAAGAGATATATGTCTTTGGCTTTCAAAACTTAAAAGATTAGATATGATATGCTTTATATACAGTACAGTATATATGCGATGCTTTCTAAAACACTACTAAAATATTGTTTTCAATATTATTTATGTTTATGTGAACTGTTTTTTATTTAAAACATGAGCTCAGAATTAAATTTTCTGTTTATTTCAATAGTTTTTATCTTTAAATAAAATTAAGCTAGATAAGTATTCAATATAATATAATTTATGTGCACATTTTAACTGTATAAATATTTTTAAACAGACACATTTAAAATTTGTTGTATTGTTACCAGGGTTTTAAGGAAATAAATGCCTGCCTTGGCAATGCCCAAATAGATGCCATAAATGCCTGGCATTTTGGGCATCTATTTTATTTGCCTGCCAAATTAAATTGCTAAAAAGCAACTGAATTTATAAAAATAATGTAATTTACTGTTTTTAGCTTGTTAATTAAATTTACAATTAATATAATTAATTCTAATGATTTTACCTTTTAAGTAGAGATATACAAAATAAAAATACAAACAAATATCGATAAAACAATGTTTTATAGATAAATTAATAATATATAATTAAAATAATAGGTGTCACCACCTGAAAATAGATGCCCAGGGCATGGCAGAGGCAGGGCAGGCATTTGGCAAAATAGGCATCTATTGTTAATGCCTGCCATTTTTAAAACCCTGATTGTTACACATATATATATATATATATATATATATACTGTATATAATATATAAATGTATGCGTACATACATTACATACCCACCAAATTGTTATAATAGTAATTTTATATAATGTCATATAATCCGAAACATAATTTAGGAAACCTTACATTTCTTAATAACTATTTTTTGTTCACAAACTAATACAATACCATAAATAAGAATTTGTTATTATTTAATATTTATTGAAATTCAAACCATAACTAACCAAAAACATAATGAAAATACAATAAGTGTTATACACGTCTATATAATGAAACACACATTTTATTAGAAATTGTTTGGGTTGTGCTCCAGATTTCAATGTCCCCTCAAAAAAATATGAGACCCTATTGCTGACAACATAGAGTATATACAGTATATATTGTTGTTGTAATAACTTTAACATTGCATTAAAATTCTCACAATTCATTGATACAGAAAAAACTCTTTATATATACACTGTATGTCTAATCACATGTCATTTGTAGACCTGTTACACACATATTGTGTACCCATATATTGTTGTTGTTATTATAATCGGGATATTATTAAAGCATTAGTTGTGTTAAAAGCAAAGTAACCGAGAGGTGCAGTTCAATACACGAATAAGTTGTATAAATACATTGAAATAGTGGCATAGCTTACAGTGAATAACATTTTTTTGTGGGTGAATACAACTCATATGTAGTCAAAGTATTGCAATATATTTGAAGAGAAACCGAAATAATGAAATGTATTCATCCTTTCATTTGGGTATATGTTTGGCAAGTGTTGTATCGGTTTAGACACTATTGGAACAGTTAGTAATACAGACAGTAGTGTACAATATGTATAAACCAGAGCATTAAGATTTGGTGGTTGACTGCATATAAACCATATATATATTGCAATCCACGCTCTGGTGAACCTCTAGTGTACTGTTTAGGGGCTTTAGAGTCACAGATCTGGCGATTTAGTTGTGATCTTTAGAGCGATGGCTTTGTGCCAAACCATTCAATACAGTATTTGCCGGCGCTTTTCAATTGCCATAGACTTTGAATATGTATATAAATTTACAGTATATATATATAAGAGACCAAAAAAGCTTTTACATTGAGACGAATTACCAATGCTTTTGATGTTTTCGTCTTTAGTTGAGATACGAGAAAGACATCCAATATCTACTTTGTAATGCCATAACACCAGAGAGCCGGTACATGGCTTTCAAAAGTCGATGTGATTGTATGTATTGAACGGATGGTTAAAACAGTGGAAAGCATTGAAAAATACAATTTTAAAACTAATGTCATTTTTGCTATTTCTCTCTCTCTCTCTCTCTCTCTCTCTCTCTCTCTCTCTCTCTCTCTCTCTCTCTCTCTCTCTCTCTCTCGGCATTCAAGCGTATGATTCAAATTCTATATGGAATTACAGTAAAAAAAACTTAATGTTATTTTATAATGATTACAATCCATAAGTAAAACATTGCTAAAAGTGTACATTCATTAAATGACTTATTTTCTGTCTATTTTGTTATTACATTTTATTAATATTGTTGAAGACATGTATTTTTGCTATTAACTTAGTTAATCAATAGTTGGTATGCCATACAAATTGTAATGTAATGTATTACTATATTTTGATGACATATGATATGTATAAATTTTACGCCAAAATGATAAAAATTTTGCCGATAAAAAATATGTTTATATTAATGTTTATAATACAAAATGAGTGCTTTTATACATATATTTCTAACAATAATTCACTTTATGTTTTTAGTTCACTATTTCAGTCAAAAAACATTATCCATTCATATATTCATTACTGCAGTGCACTCACACACACATAAAATTTATTTAAAGTATAAAGTTATATACAGTATATTAATACAATAAACACAATTATACACACTGTATATGCATTAGACACTGTGTTTTTACCATTACTTGTAATTGCATAATATATATGCAAATATTGTATCGCAATGTATGCCAAAGTTTTATGGATAACTTTTTAAATGCAATATTTAATATTTCCCTTTATTATTAATATTTTACTCAAGTATAATATATATATATATACTGTATATATATTGTACGCTAAATAAAAATAAATAGAGAGTAATAAAAGCAAAATATAATATTATGAATCATAACCATAAATATTAATATTTTATTTCAATTATTTTCCTGTTTTGTCATTTTAAAAAATTATTATACAAAATTTCTATAGTATAAACTTACAAATTTACAATTATTATAATTATTATATACAATAAAAAATTTTAAGGAATATTTAAACTTATTTGTTTTAAAAATTCCCAATTTTAATATACACATTCAAATAAATATTTATATACTTTAATACATAGTACTTGTAAATTTATATACAAAAAAAATATCGTAAATATATTTCTATATAATTTCTTTTTAAAAAAATGTATAAATAATGATATAATGATATAAACATATTAGACGTGAGTTATCGATGCATTGGTTGTGGTATTCCTGCTATGTTTGCTACGATGAGAACGGTGTGAATGTCTTGTCTGACTTTGAGTCTTGAGTGATGCATATGAATGATAGTAGACGTGGTGTCGGGACAACGGGTTATTTGCTATGTTATTGTTAATGTTATTAGTATTGTTAGGTATATTGTTTTGCGATGAGATACTAGACGTGGGTGTGTGTCGGTGTTGTTGTTGCTGCACCGGTATGTACTGTGTAGTGGTCTGCGGTAGCACTGGTGGACACTTGAAATTACGTCGCGGTCGACGACCAAACGTCGATTGACAGAATCGGGTCCACGAGTTCCACGTTTTATTACTCCAGACCCATATACCGGTAGATATACCCAACACCAGTGACATGAATATCTTGAGTACAAATACCTCTTTCATTGGTATACTTTCATTAAGACGACAGGCGTTCATAGTGTTCATGTCGTGACACATCCTCGACCTGTCGAGTGATGTTTCGCGCCATTCATTGCTTTTCAAGTACTCATAAATATGACATCCAATGACCACAAGTGCCGGTACTGTATATAATGTTGTAAAGACACCGATCCTAATCATAAGTCTGTCCAATTTATTTGTATTGTGACCTCCATATTGTAGGTCTGACCTGATTCGGGTCAATGATATGAAGCCAAATATCAGTACAAGTATGGCAAAGATGGAGAAGACTGATTGAGGTATAATCACAAAGTAAAGCAATGCGCTCGGGTCGTGATGACCGACATAACATAGCCCTGTTAGCTCATCCCCGTCCACATGTCTTAATGTAATGACAATAATAGTCAGAATGGCCGGTATAGCCCACGATAGAAGATGAAAAACACTAGATTTAGCTTCAATGGCTTCGTGCGCCCACTTTTTAGATGCCGCCAAATACCAGGTTATGATTAGACAGACCCACCACATAGTGGCCGCCATACCGAAGTAGTAAATCAATATAAAGACTATAATACAGGCAGAGTTATCGAGTCCCTCAAGAGTAATATGATCGTCACCCGAGTCACTCCTATCGCAGGATACAAACTCAGGGCCGGCGTATATACGTATCAAATAAGCGACACTTGAGATACAGAAGCACATCGATAGAAATATAATAGGTTTTTCCGGATAACGAAACCGTTGGGAATCGATCCAAAAGGTTAATACAGTGAATAGTGTGGATATGAAGCAAATTGAGGCCCAAATACACATCCATATCTCCACAAAGTTTTTGTCATTTCTGGTAAATAGTATATCTTTACCACATTTGGGCGCACAGACCGCTTGGCTGCCATTCACGTGTTGTTTGCCGGCTATCGGTATATAAACGAATTCTGCGTAACATTTGTTTCCGTTTTTTGATAGTTTTCCGTAACCATTACTGTCCACACCATTCAAATTGTATGAACTAATATCAAACGCTTCAAAAGGCAGCGATGACTTAAATGATGGCATAAATGGTGACGATTGGGAATCACTGCCTTCACGACGTTGATTACCGGCAAATAAAAATGGATAGATCTTCTCAATCGAGTTTAACAACTCTTTAGTCTCCTTTTCGCTGATGGCTTTAATATCAGGTTTGTTTGATGGCAACGATGATGATGAAGATGAGGAGGAAGACAATGACGATATTATTGAGGGATGTTTGTGTGGTGTCTTCATTGTGTCATTGATATTGGGAACTTCCATACAGAGACCATCCTTGGGTACTGGCAGTCGACTACAGTTGAGCATTGATGGCCAATTGAAGTTAAATTGACGTAAGACTGGCAAACACCGGGACTTGACCTCCTCGCAGATGGATTGACACGAAGGGATTGGTATATCGATCTGTTCCGTACACATCGGAGCATACAATGAACAGAGAAAAAACTTCAAATTCTTTGAGCACCCGATCTCCACCAGCGGTATAAACTCGTGCACTTGAATGGCGGCCTCCGACTGGTCTTTATGTCCCATAAAGTTGGGCATTCGGGTCAGATTATAGGGCATATCTTGACACATGGGTATTGTTATGCGTTCACATTTACCGGACTTACGGGTGGCCGACACCTCCATCGTGTGAACCGTCGATATAAACACCAATAGTGTTAACACAGACGAAGCTATAGCTGTTCTTCTGGTCATTGTTTGCAGTCAATCAATTCAATCAATTCAATCAATTCTTTAAACACTACTAACAGTCAGGTCTTGAATGAATGAAAATTTAAAATAACTATTAAAATATTGTCTCAAAACATATTTAAAAAAAAATTCAACACATATATTGAATATTATAGAAAAAACATTAAATTTGATTTTAAAAAATTATTATTACAAATGATGTAATAGTTATTATTTCAAAATATTTTTTTAAAAAGTATTTAATTGAAGCACAATTATAAAATCAATTTAATGGCTTTTATTTTTATACTTTTTTATTATAAACATAACTTTTCTTCTTTAAAATAATAAATATATAAATAAATTATAAAATAAACAAATCAAACACATATTTTATATGTCGAGATAAAAAAACTTTTGCCATAACATTGCATATCATTTGTAAATCAGTGTTTTTTGGTCAAAACAAACGCGTGCGTGAATGTCATCGGTATATCTGAGAGGGAATTGGTAACTGGTCTATGTTTTTAACAGAACATACCAGTGCTCAGCAATAACAAAGTTTTTTATTGAAGCCAAAACATATGCATACATAAGCTCAGCCCAAACCAACCAAACATGCCTGAGCTCCTTCTTCAGTCGCTTCACAAACACAACTGAGCGCAACACTCAATGGTCTTTCTCTATCAGTGCTAGTATTCCGGGCCGACTGACTGTCTCCTAAATAACTATCACTTTGTGTGCTGACTCTCTCTCTCTCACACACACAAGGCTTGGCGTGATATGTATGTGCTCTCTCTCTCTCTCTCTCTCTCTCTCTCTCTCTCTCTCTCTCTCTCTCTCTCTCTCTTAGTTAAAGAGAAGAGCCGACTCAAAATAGTGAGATCGCTCTGAGGGCCAATTACTACCGGTAAGGCGGGTGCTCTCAGTCACAGTTAAATTGTATGAAAAGAGAGAGACTTACGGGAAACAAGCTTTTTGGACCTTTACATTTGGGGGCTATCATATGTAGAGTAGTATTTGTATAGAGTAGGCACTGTAGTAAAGTGGACCGATAGAGATGGCTTAACACAAATGCCAAATATCTTTAGTGCACACATACCTACACATAAACACATTGGTCTCTTGTGGGGACTCGAAGTCCACATCAGAAAACACAATACACAATAGGAATATCCTAATGGGTATTGAGAACCGCTATAATAAAAACAATGGGCAGTCAGTCGACTCTCGCATGAAAAGAGAAAAATATTTTTGTCTATCATATAAATACTGACAGCACTGGTATTCCTCTAATTTTGCCCAAACATACCAATGCGCAGACCTTTTTAAATCTCGATTGCTTCTCATTTATTTATTACTATAACACATACCGAGAAAGAGAATGAGAGAGAGAGAGAGAGAGAGAGAGAGAGAGAGAGAGAGAGAGAGAGAGAGAGAGAGAGAGAGAGAGAGCGAATGGTTTTATAAGTTATTATTATTATTATTATTATTTTGTAATTATTTATGTGTGATATTTCAAAGTTTAAATTTCACGGGCAATACTACATGTGCTCAACACACATAAAACACTGGTGTTTGCCTGTCATCCAAACAATAATAGCCATTAAAAATAAGTTTTGGCCAAAACTTCATTTCACATACAAAACAATAAACAATTTTCTCAATTGAATTCCTGTTTGACAGATATATTCACACATGAGTTAAGTCACTGTGAGATCATATTTATTTTCAGTGCTTTTTTGATTCACAAAACTATTTTTATATATAGCTGTCGGACAGCTATTTGAGGCTAAAAATTATCGTTAGCTTATGTATGTATATCTAACAAAAAATACTTGTTATGTGTTGTGTACTGAAAAATTATGTTTACTGTAGGGCTCAACCATTCATCATTGCTATTGACCCCCGCCCTGCCTTTGCTCTCTCTCTCTCTCTCTCTCTCTCTCTCTCTCCTCATAGCAATTAGTAGTTTACTTCTCTTATCTTTCACCCATAAGTTGTGTACTGTATGTGTACTCTATGTCGGCCCACAAACAGCACATCCACTTAAATAACACACAACTGCTCGCAAACAACAAAATTTCTCTCTCAGTCTCTCTAATATACAGATCTTATATAATATTAATAATTCACTTCATATCTTAACATTTGATCTCATTTGGCGTATAAATTAAAACATGTTTTCTCATTATCTTATATTATATTAACACTTTGTATGCCGTGTGCTCTTTGGGATCCAAAAGTGCGATAACAATATATTTATATTATATATACACTGCAAATACAATTGATGCTAATCGGGCACTAAATGTGTTGCACTTAATGAAAGTCAAGAGAAAATAAGAGGCAAATAATAATGGATTCAGAAACAAGACTTCAAACAACTGGTCATTAATTTTAAGTGTTGGATAAAAATTGACTGTAATTTATACGTTTGCCGTAAAAATATAATATAAAATAGAAATATAGTGAACATATTTAGAGAGAAGCCATATATTTGTCTGTATATTATAATTCAATACATGCTCTCTCTCTCTCTCTCTCTCTCTCTCTCTCTCTCTCTCTTTCATCTCATAAAACCTTAACGACAGAGCAAACAATTGAGAGCTTCGGAAAAATCAGTCAGTAATCAGTACTGACTTTATTTAAGCGAAAAAGTTTTAGTGATTAGGAATATAAACACATAACTCATATTCACTGGAAATGGTTAGAAATAGTCGGTCATAAACTTTCACAGATTGCAGAAAATGTTTAGCAATTACTGCCAGTAGTGCCCTACCAAATGCAAGTACCATATCAATGATACACACTGTGTGTATTAGACACACACACACATACACACACACACACATATATATATATATATATATATATATATATATATATATATATATATATATATATATATATATATAATTTATATACAAGAATACACTGTATTTGAGTATCATTGTTAGCATTATAGCCACGAATATAAATAATAATGTGGTTGTAAAATGTTGAACATTGATAACAGATTTCAATATACAGTATAATATTTGATGTGTTGTGTTGTGTTACAAGTTGTGTGTGCACTTGAATCAAGCGATTTGATATATGGATATGTGATACAAACGTTTATATATTGAAGACATACCAGTGCCAGATGTATGCAAATAATTTAATTCGGTTATTATACGACTACTCAATAAACGATACAATAATACAAGTATAATATCAATAGAAAAGTCAGTCTAATCTGCCTTTTGGCTTATTTTGGGTATTAATTTCTTAGAGAAGACACTAATTTGCCGACTCATGGGATGCCTTAACCAAAGCCAACGATCGCAAAGTCAGAGCACAGGACTGTAATTAAATATAATACCAATAATACTGTTAAGAAAGACAATCTTCAGTCTTTCTTTCAGATCTTATAGTAAATATGTTTTTACGACTTAATGACCAATAAGAAGATTTTGCAATCGGTTCAACAATACTATTGAGTGAAATATAGATAAAGGGCCTGTTGTTTGTGAGGACAGTGGCAATGGTGCTCATAAAATGTGGTACTGCATGCCCTGGCAATCACATTAATGATTGGGCACCGGGAGATAGCTATATATGTTAGGCACTGACTGAAAGAGAAATAAAGAAAATGCATCAAAAAATTTCAGGAAAATCTCTTCAGACGTTAAAGCAATTTAATAACAAAGTGACTCAAAATAAAAAAAACACAAAAAGTCATAATACGCTCTCAAAAAAACCAATAAATACTATAGAAATAGTAATCATAAGAAATAGTTTTTTTCAAAAAAAATGTATAAAAAGAAAATACCGATCAGAAAAATGCATAACATATCAGTGCTCTCTCTCTCTCTCTCTCTCTCTCTCTCTCTCTCTCTCTCTCTCTCTCTCTCTCTCTCTCTCTCTCTCACTCACTCACTATTGAGCCACAAGTGCTTTGGTGTTAGACCTGTCAGAAGCACATCCTTAATGTCATCGCCTAATGTGAGGCCAACTAAAGTATAATTAGGAGTTGTCGTTAAATCCCAACTATACATACAATTTATATGTATATTACACCATTCAATTGCATTACAATCATATTATTTGCACTTTTTTTGTTGCTTTATTCTATGCGAAGATCAATATAAATATATTTTATTTGAAGTGAGAAGTCATTAGCTAAGCAACTGAAGCAATAATATAAATATATATATAAAGCGATGGTTTGTGTGCTTTGATAAAAAACTGAGGGCTAATAACCCTTTGATTATATGCTTAGTTTTAATAGTTATAACCGCAGAGAAAGATATATATATATATATATATATATATATATAAATGAAAAACGAGAGCCAATGTTTATACAAGAAAAGCATCAATTTTTGTTTGGGGCCAACACTGAAATTACTGCAATAAGAAATGAGAGAAATAGAAAATTATATATTTATTTTTTTCACTTTTTGTTTAAAATATATAATTAGGAAAAGTAATTTTCAAACAAAAATACACAACAATTTTATTTTCTGCACTTAAATTGTTGGAAAAAACATTAAAAGAAAAGAGAGTCTAAAAAATAACTTTCATAAATATATTGCTTAAAACTGTAAACAAATATTGTTTTTTTTTTTGACACAACATATGAGAAATAGTATATTGAAAAAATTATACTGTATTTGTACATAAAATTATATTTAATATAAAACTATAAATTAGGATTTTTAAAATTTAATTAGATATAAATAAAAAATGATATACAAATACACAGAGATTTTTAATTTTACTTTATTTTAATATTAAAATAATCAACTATGCATAGAGGCTTTATTACAAAAATACATCATATTATAATCTAAATAAATTCACGTACATTCATAAACAATTTTATATCAAATTATATAATAAACATTTCGCTTAAAAGTGTGATATCATACTATAATTATAATAATTATTATTAAAGTATATTTGTAGTACAGTATTATAATATTAAGTAATTATTTTTTCTATTAAATTACTTTATAATAATAAAATATTATATACAACAAACAAGAATATTATAATTGATAAGTCATCATTTAAAGTGCATATAATTGCTAACCATTTAAAGTAAAAAAAAATATAAAATAAATAATTTTGATTAAATTGATAGCACCGACAAAGAGAAATGTCTACTAATATAATACTAAAAAAATACACTCGAGATTTGGCACAAAAACAATTGCATTTTATGTGAACAATCATATGATTACATCTCTTCAAAAATAGATGGGAGGAAAATGTGAGATAATGAGAGACAATAAGTTTTTTTTTGGTAATTAAGTAGAAAACTAGTCGTTTATAATGAGTAACAATAATATTTAGTTCTACTAATAATATTCGTATAATTTTTAAAAATGATATCAAACTTAAATTATACATATTATTATAATATACAAAATAAGTTTGATGTTTGAGATGTGTTGTTAAGATAATTATTATTGTATATATACCTCAAAATTTATATTATCGGAAGATTCATATTATCATAAAGACGTTTACAATTTTTTTTAACAATCATAAGTATTAAACAGAAGGCTATAAATTAATTATTTAAGTCAAAAAAATATAATATAAAAGATAATTTAAATTGAATAATAATATTTAATTTTAATGATCCACGAAATTGCATTCAGTATATTACTGGTTCAGACAAATTATATGAGTAAACCATTGTATCTCAAATTGCCATAATATAATAGTAATTATTATTATCTCATTATTAATTGGAAATACAGTAAATGACTCGTAAATTAGTAAAAGTAAATATCTTTTATTTTTTTCATACAATATCATACATGAGAAGATTCATTACAATTAAAATAATTTATATAATAATTTACAATATATATATATATATATATATAGTTTAATCTAAAATAATAAATACTAGTCATTAGTTATAGTTCACATTATTAAAAGAGTACTTTATAATACTTTATAATTAAAGTACACAACTAATATCGCAATCAATAATTGCTTATTTATGAAGCCATTACATGTCTTAGTTTTGAGATAACAAGCAATGATAAAAACACTGGCTTTTTATTATATTAATAATAAGCAATGATTTTATATATATGACTAAGTAATGTATGATTATTATTTATTTTAGCGCACAAACAATAAGTCGAGAATATTGTGGTTATTATTTAACTGATAATACTTATCACTGATTTTTAAAGCACTTATTCAAGTCATATCATAGACACAAAACTGGAATATGTTTGCTAACTAAGAGGCACTACAATTGAGGGGTAATAAAAACTTTTGCCGATTTTAATATTATATATTTACTTTATATACCGTACAGTAATATAGCTTATGTTTACATTATGCACTTTAAATACTGTACATATTCATAGGTATGATATACAGTATATGTTTTCAAATTAAAATTAACAAATAAGTATTTGAAAAATATTTTAGTTATTTGCAAAACAAGGTTTAGAAAAAATACTACTATATATTTTTAAGTAGTTGTGAAATGTTTGAAATACTAATAATGAAAAAAGATGAATATTAAATAAACATTAAAATAATAGTAATAGAAATAATGATAATAATAACAACAAAGAAAAATGTTTCACTATTTTCATTTTCAATAATAATAATAATAATACTATTATTGTACACGGTGGCTCATCAAGAGTTATTTTCAAAATACACCACTTATTTCAAAAACTACTAATTATATTTTATTTTAACAAAAAATATTATAAAATATGATAAATGGGATTACATATTTTAATTAGATAAATTTTCAAAATGGCCGCCATTAATTGCAATTAAATGGCAAAGTTGGGTGTACAAAATTGGATGTTACCCGTACTTTCATATATTGCTGTATGGCCCGTATCTCACTTTCAATCATTTTTGTGAATTCTTCAATAGATTGAGGGTTGGATATGTAAACCATATCTTAAAATAAACCCAAAAAAATAATCACAGGTGTTGAAATCGGGTAAATATGGAGGTAAAATCATTTCCGCCGCCAGTCTTCTTGGGCGCATCCAAACCTATAATCCGATCACCAAAACACTCTCTAAGTTGTTCAAAGATATCTTGTGTTCTGTAAGGTCGTGAACCATCTTGTTTAAACCAGTAACAATCAAGCAATCTTTTTAACCTTATGTCCTGCACAATGATTTAAGTCCTGTAGATCTCTGATATCACAAATTTCTCTTAAAAATATAGGCCCAATTATTTCTTTGTCATTAATAGCACATCATATGGCGACAGGTTCTGGATGTAGCGGTCGCGTGATAGTCAAAATATAATAAATAAGGACAATTTCGACTATTTTTACACCTGACTTTGCCATTTAATTGCAATTAAAAAAAAAATTTTTTTTATAAAAATATGTAATCCCATTTATCATATTTTATAATATTTTTTGTTAAAATAAAATATAATTAGTAGTTTTTGAAATAAGTGGTGTATTTTGAAAATAACTCCTGATGAGCCAGCCTGTATGATTATTATAATAGTGTAATAACTAGAAACCAGTTTTACTTTTTTGTTAGTTAAACAAGAGAAGGGATTTTTTGTTTAAAAAATATATTTGATATTATGATATGAACTAAAGTGAATCACAAAAATATCTGCAATTTCTTAAAGCAAAAAAAAAGCTTAAAATACCACACATCCTGTTATGGCATGAGATCTAATGAAAATGCAATTTTGAAAAAAAAGTATTTTATGTTTGATTCAATTGATTGATATTTTGAAATCTACTAAAATATTTGCTATTATTAAAAAATATTTACTTACATTTTTTTTAATAATTATTTATAAAACTTTTCATATCATTTTCAATCAGTTATTTACTTTCCAAATCTCTTAATATCTTTCTTTTAAGATAAATATATTTTTCTTATTATTATAAATAGCTTATAAGTATAATTAATTTTGTGTCAAACATTTTTTTAAAAGAAAAAAATTATAAATCATTTTATTTGAGAATTTCCAGAAATATTTATATATATATATATATTGAACATAAGTTTTGTTTTTTAAATAAGTGAAAATCTTTATATAAAAACTTGTAACTAATAAATATTTTGTATAAATAGAATTTAAAAAATTATATACATATAACCAAAAATTTTATTTCTATGTTATATCCATTTATTGTAACTAAACTAATAAATCAATTGACAATAATAACGAAACACTATTTTGTGGTCCATTAACAACAAGTGGTTACGGTTTTAAACACAGAAAATATTGAATTCATTAATCTTTTGTCCTATTTTTGTGGTAAATGTGCAAAAATACAGTATATTTTGTTTGTTGTTTTTGTGTTAAAAATTTGTATCCAACCATACATTTCATTGAAAAACATACCATTTTTGAAGTCAAAAGAGTTTATCAGTAAAAGAGAGAAAGAAAGAGAGAGAGAGAGAAGTGCATTGAAATGCTTGTTAAATGATAGCCATTGGAGGTTAAACAGAGTGAGTGTTGTATGGTATATATGAAAGGGAATCCGTCTTAAAAGGTCTGACACGAACACCTGCAGAGCACAGATACCATACTAGTGCTCGCGGCGCGGCTTACACGCGGTATCGACTTATTGCCGCACGTATTGCGAGAAGGCATTTGAAGAAAACCGTACAAAAGGTGCGGTATCTCAACACACACACACACATACATACATACATACTATACACTCACACACCCGATCTAATGCTTTACCCCAATAATAATAATAATAGTCTATGTTTTGAATCTAAAAAGTCAGACAAATTCCTACGGAATGTGTGCTCTCTTTTGGCATACAATGAGACACACATTGGGTTTCAAATGAAGTCTAAAAACATATATACTATAAGTTATATTTAAACAAATTAAGTTTTTTTTGGGGGGGAATTCACACAATTTTTTTATCGATGATTACTAAATCCATAGCAATTTAATATTATATGCCTAATAAAATACTGTAGAAATGATAGTATTAAACAAAAAATAATTTTAAATTTTTCAATAGTTTAATTATTTATCAATAATAATTAAAATAAAATATTAAACTACACGAAATCTTAAAAACAACAATTGAATAATATTATACTATAAAATATCACACTAATAAACAATGAATAAAGTATTTAATAATACAATAAACTTATTATATATAAAATTATATTTTTCGATTTATTAGAAAATTTTTCAAATTTTATCCACATATCTCTGTCTTATTTTTAATAATTTTAAATCCACTAAATTTTTATAATATAGTTATTTTTTTGAAACCAAATACAATATAAGAGAAACTATATTTATAACTAAAAACATAATTTATCGGACACACAATCAACATTGGAAATCTTGTAGTTATTATATTATATTCAATAAATGTATATCATATGAATAGGTTATATATCTCACACATATTTTACCCTTTAATCCCGTGTTTCCTGTGCTCAGGTATTTATTGTGTCGTTGGTATTATTGAAGTACAGTACAGTAGTATTGTAATGCCACCCATATTGCTGTGTGAGGCCAACCCGTTATTAACATCTTATACTGTATAGTGTAGTAAATGGCTATCGTTGACAACAATGTCATTGAAAAAAAAGTTCATTCAATACAAACTGACCACAAGATTATGAGTAGTACTACAAGTTGTAAGCCGTAAGATCACTGACCACTCATTAACTCATAGCACAGGAAATATACAGTATATACAAAACAATAGACAAAGTTATTTAAAATGAAATTTTAAAGATTTTAACTGAAAAAACCACACAAACTATTTCTATGGTATAATTGGATTTTTCTCATTCATGAAAAATCTAACTAACATTTTAACAATACTATAAGTTTTAATAATAATAATAGTGTAGTGGAAATAATTCACAGGAATTTTACTCCCAGTCCGATGTCTAACCAAATAACAAACAATTAATTATTATTATTATTATCAATTAGACATTTAATTTCACTTTAACTAATAGTAATAAATTTTTTTATATATGTCACAAAAATCTCTGCTATTATTAATATTAGTTATCAGTTTATAATATTAACACACAATTAATAACGTTATAATAAGTTATTAATATTATGTGATACAGTATATACCGTACTGTATAATTGTTTTGTATGTGTTTGAAATGTTATCGATATATACTATACTAAATTATAAAATAAAAAGACATGTGTTATCATATCATATAATTTAATAATTATTGTTGAGTACACCGAACTCACCATTAAGTGTGTGTATTTGTGTGTATGTTTTAGAGAGAGAGAGAGAGAGAGAGAGAGAGAGAGAGAGAGAGAGAGAGAGAGAGAGAGAGAGAGAGAGAAAGAAAGAAAGAGAGAAAAAAAGAAAGAGAGAGAGAAAAAAAAGAGAGACTCATTTGCTTACTTGAAAACATGTTATCAGTTGAGTGCATAGCAAAAAAAGTGATATATCTTATAGATAAATGGCACTCAAAAAATCAACTAACGTTAAATCAATGAATTTATACTACTTTTTTTAGGCGCATCGAGAAAAAAATATAAAGAGATAGTTAATAATGATAATAATAATAATAATATAAAAAATTAAAAAGAAATATATAAGTGATTGCCTAATGAGAAAAACTTTGTTGTCTACCGACACTAGTATTTATTATATATACAATCAGTAAAAATAATAATAATAAAAATCAAAAATATTTATTACATGTATTAAAAGTACATATCACGAGTAATTAATTATATGCTTTTTATTATTTTTATTTATAAAAAATAAAATCCCATTAACATTAAATCCAGTAGACAAACACTTTAGTTTTATTATTATTAGATCTCATGGCAGATGCATTCATGTGATGTTAAATGTCTCATTGATTATTAATAAATTTTTTTTGGTATCCCTGCAAACATTTATAAAAATAAATAAAAAATTGTTATCAACAAACTTACATACTTTATATGTTATACACAAATAGTTTGAAAATATTAAATACATTAAATACAGGGGTTATATTTAATATGTTGTATAACTATATGGTATATGAGCTGATCCGACAAAAGGCAGCAACTGATCTAAAAATAAAATTTTTTTAGTTTTTAAAAACAATTTTAGACATTTCATACCATTTATAAAACTTTCTGTTTATTTACATAAAAATTTCTAAAAAATTATTTTTTATTTTTTATACACCATCTCTCTCTCTCTCTCTCTCTCTCTCTCTCTCTCTCTCTTACACTAAATAGCATTTAACATATTTTCATTAAACGCAACCATCATTTTCAAAATTATATAAAACAAAATATACAAAATGACTTTAATATCTAGTTTTAGCTCAAAAAATGTATAATTAATAAATAAATGGAAGAAAAATAAAAGATAGAATAGGAGAGGGAATAGAGTCGGAACTTTCAAAGAGATGTAAATTAAATTAAACATATTTTAAAACAAATGATTTGCAGCCGATTTGTTTTAATTGAATGGCAAAAAAATAAAGGTGTAATTTTTTGGCCACTTATTAGCTTATTATATCCATAACTATAATATACAGTTTATATGAAAAGTCACTACAAAATTAAATAGCAGCATATTTTTGTGAATAAAAATAATTTTTAATTAACGTAAACTAGCATTTAATGAACAGTGAATTTAAAGTAACTTTTTATTATATATACTATTAATAAAATAAAATGTATCCATAAATCTATGTTTTCAAAACACAATTTGTGAGAAAATGTTTCATATTTAATGGCATACATTAAATTCAAATACAAACTCTACTAATTATATATCATTTGTTTTGCAAAATAAGTTATTTTGTTAAAAACTTTGTTAACTATATATTATTTTGATATTATTAAATTATAATGTATGATAGCATGTATAAAGTACTACAGTATGATAGGATTTTTGTAATATTCAAATTGTTAAATTATAAAACAGTCACTCACTTGTTAAGCAAAATTATAAATACTTGTATATTTTTATTGCTATAATTATTATATTTTGCTGTTGTTGTTATATTATAATATACAGTATTATCAATAGTTATTATAGTCAATGCCTAAAGTCATATACAGTAAAAATATTATTAATGCCATGAATAATAGACAAATTATTTGAACAATAGATTTTAAAAATTTTATGATTGATAAGTAATTTTAAAAATATACATAAATAAAACATATAAAACTTTTGAAACAATACCAAACACACATAAATACAAGAATAGTTATTGAAATATGAAAATAATTCAAATAAAAATATACATTAACTAATAATAATAAAAGCATACATAGTATGTATTACATACTATAAATTTATATGTTTAGTATAATAAAGATAAGGTTCTGTAGATCTAATTAGAAATGAAATATATTATATTTTTATTTAATATAACAAAATAAATAAATTGTTTTTGAATGCAATCAATTGAATCTCATAATCACTTTATATTTGATATCGTGATAAACAAACTGAATGTTTCTCAACATTAAAATCTATAGATATCTAATGTAATATATACTTAATACTTATTATATACTAATGTCTACATTTTCACAAAATAGTAATATTGAAATTTTTTTAGAGAGAGAGAGAGAGAGAGAGACCAGTGATAAAACAATGTTTGGATCACGTATTTTGATAGCACAGGCATACCTATGACTATAAGATATGGTGTGCAGAGAGTGCGAAATCCTGTTACCTTTTAGTAATACCTTTTTCAAACAAGTGATGAATTTCCTGATAACAACAGGCGATGCTTTGAAAAATTACCACAAAATTTATAAGAGAATGAATGAGTGGATGAATAGGTACAGTCATAGCGTAGCTCAAGGATGGTAGAGCCCGGGGGTCATACAAGACAGAGCCCCTATCATACACTTTTCACACTCTCTATGCCTGTAATTAGGTTGTGATGAGACCAACGATTTTTCTCAAATACTCTTATTTTAGTTGTTTATATCAGATATGAAAAGAATGACTAAAAAAATCTCAAATCTGAAAAATCTTTGAAAAAACGATTTTTATTTTATAAAATCATATAATTTAATGACATTAAAGTTATTATCAAATATTTTTCAAGATTTGGAAATTTCAAAGACATTTTTAGCATTTTTCTGAGCATTTATTTTATAGATAATCTGTTGATGCTTTTAGATTGACAATCAGCGAACTGGCCATTAAACATATTAAACATATTAAACATATTAAACATATTCATATTTATATTAGTCTGTAATACAAATTTTGAATTAATAGTGGAAAATTATTTTAAATAATTATTTTAAAGTGCACCCTTTAGTTATGATAATTAAAAATTTGATATTTATTAAAGTAATTTTTTCTCACTTTGAAGTCTCGAAAGAAATAAATTTTGTTTTGCCCTAAAAAAAACTTGAGTTGATGTATGATACTAAATGAGACTCTCGTTTACTAAATTAATTGAATGAATAGTCAACTAATAAGCACCTGGACTGCAATTTTCACATAATTATACATTGAACAGCCGTAACATTAGTCAAAATATGTATAAACATTAAACGTTTATATGACTTATTATTATTAAATATAATTATTCGGATGTCGGGCCACTCATTGCCATACATTTAGCAATTTTAAGGGTGACTAACAATACTATATGAACATAGATTTGAATTAAATTTAAGATTTGTATCAAATAAAAGCAATGATTCAGTTAATGGAGACAAATATAATAGACTAATAATAGACTAATTGAATGCCAATTATTTATTCATATTTTCAGTCAATGCTTATACAGCGAGTGAGAGTTTAACTATTAATATTTAAAAAAATATTACCTAAATGACTGAGATTATGACAAAAATTAAGTTTCTGGGTTATGTATTGACACGACCGTCTAAATTATAACACTTAATAAAATAATAATTTTTTATTACATTTATATTTTCCAAAAATATCTAGAAATTGAATTAGTATTAAAAATTTTTAGTATTATACAGTTCTATCTATAAATTATACTTAAAAATATATATTATTTTTGGTATTCAATTTAATTATTACTAAAAAAATGGTAAAAGAAAGTGTTATGATTTGTATTGATAATTGTGAATATATGAGAAATGGTGACTTTGATCCAACCCGACTCAAGGCACAGGAAGAGGCAGTTTCGATGGTTAGTCGCTCAAAGAGACGATCTAATGCCGAGAATACCGTTGGACTGTTAACTATGGCACCGACACCTCAATTGGTGTCTTCTTTAAGTACAGATGTCGATCGTATGGAAAGACGACTCTGTTTGGTAAAACTGTCCGGTGAGACGATAAGTCTGATGACTAGCATCCGTGTGGCGCACCTGGCGTTGAAGCACAGGGAGTCAAAGACAAACAAAATGCGAATTGTTTTGTTTGTCGGCAGTCCTATCAATGACGACGAAAATGAATTAATATTATTAGCCAAACGACTCAAGAAAGCTAAAGTCAATGTCGATGTCGTAAACTTTGGTGAAGAAGTCATGAATACGGATAAATTGACGGCTTTTATCAAAGCCATCGATAATACAACATCTCATATGATAACTATTTCGTCCGGTTATGACTTAGCAAATGCTCTAAAAAATTCACCGTTAATTGAAAATGAAGAAGAAATGGATCCATTCATAATGGCAGCCATACAGGCGTCACTACTCGACCAAGAGTTTCATGATATTGAAGATCAGTGGCGAAGAAATGAACAGAGAATTGAAGTCGAGGACAAAGACAAACAAGAAGTTTTGGACGGTTTATGTAATTTAGTTAAAAGTGAAAAATCTATTGATAAAAGTGATAATTCAGCAGACAATGACCGACACGACGACGATTACAAAGATGAGACAAAAATGCCTGACTTTAATGAGATGACAGAAGAAGAACAGATCAGTTATGCTCTTCAAATGTCACTCCAAGAGTCGACTGCAATGTCCATCGACACACCTATAGCTCAGATAGAGATGACTGACAATAATAAAAAGTAATAAATTTGACGATAGATTAACGTTTTGATTAAGTTATTTAAATTAATTAATCTAATGATAATTTCACAGTAATTTACTGCCAATAATATAAAATGATAAACTTTTTTTGGGGGTAATTACATAATTAATTATTAACACTTGAGATATTATTAATGATATGCAATAAACATTTAATACAAATTAATTATATATATGTATATACAGTATATTGTATATGATTTGTTATATGAACTATTAAATTAAACTAAGAAATAAAGTGTTTCTCAAAACAAAAAATATATAATACATATTAAATTAAAGACAAAGTTATTTACTAATTGAAGACAAAGGGGAGTAACTATTGCTCGTATTTTAACAGAAATTATTTTTTTGTGAACACATAATAATGTGTATAGTGTTAAACATAGATTTATTTTGCTCTCAAATTAAAGTTGTTTTTTTGCCACAAAAAAAATATTTTTTCTAAAAGTCAGAACCAAATGCTAAATAAGGTGAGAAATAAATTGATGGAAACCGTAGGGATTATATGAGAGCTGTTAGTTATGGTCGTCACGGTTTTGGCCATACATGCACTCACTCTCTCACTTATTTATTTTTTTGACGACTAGTGCTTTCATGATTTCTCACCTGAGCTGACATACCGATGAACACCTCCTGAACACCCCATTAGGACTCGTACTTACATTTAATTTTTCTTTCTTTTTTGTTGTTGCTTTCCTTCCCTATCACAACCCATATCCCCAAATGCTATGGCTTTTTAACTGAGTTGATAGGCCATCGCTGATAGCTTGACAGCACCGACACTCACAGCCATACTCACAGAAGTTATTATCATTATTTTTTTAGGAGAGCGCCGGGCGTTCTCTTATGAATCGGTATTATATATATTAATACAATATATAAAACAAGTTCTGTTTGCCCGTCCACTCACCTCTTGGTATATACTTTAACAGATAGAAACTTCAAGAAACTTGTTAATACATAAATGCCTTATTTTAATACAACAAATATATTATAAATATAATACATGTATTTTTAACAGCCGTTTCACAGGCATTATGTGTTGTTCATCTCTCTCTCAACTCTCTCTCTCTCTCTCTCTCTCTCTCTCTTCTCTCAATACTTCTTTGTTTGTCCAAATAGATAGCAAAATAAAAAAGAGTAAAATACTATTCATAAATAAAAATACAAAGAGAATAGAGCTCTAAGCTCTATCAAGATATACAAAAAGCTATTATCCACTGTATATGTAATTTGACGATTAAATATACATATATTATATAATCATTGAATTGCTATTTAAATAATGAGTTACCTGTTATTTCCATCAGATATATATTTATAACTAACAATACTGTTGTGTTATTTGGTATGAATCGGTCATATATTATATTTTTCAATGTTATGCAATAATAGTTATTCTGATGTTAGTTAGCATTCAACACTTGATTTTTCAAAACTCAGTTATTATTTTATTATATGACTCATTGAATACATTGACTATAAGACCGACTACCAGTGCTTGGTTAGGGCTTCCCGTGAGAAGAGACGTGTGATGTAATTGTAAAAAACAAAACCGACTTTTTTGTTGTTCACAATCATTCAAAACACATGTCCTTAAAATCCCATAATTTATATATTATATGTGTTTAAACAAAAACAGTAGACAAACAATTTTTCTTATAATTAAAAGCAATATTATAAATGCAATTTCCTTATCCATCACTCAAAACACAATTAATAATATAAAATATATTATCTAATAATAAACCAATTAATATAATAAAATAGATAAAATTAGTCATTAGAAATAAAAAATTTTAATTAAACATTTTACGTATATTTAATTTTTAAAAATTAATTAAATATCCAATTAGTAATCAAACTTTAATTTATTTTTGACTTAAAGGACTTGAATTAGTGTTAATAAATATTTGTTATAATTATTTTTGCTTTATATTAAATAAATTAATGAAATGTAAAAATAATTTAACATCATTTTTAATTAATTTTATCATGTGATATAATTTAATAATTAGTTATTTTAGATAATTTTATTTTTATTTAGTTAAAAAATATTGTGGCAACTTATATATTGAGCTACACTCCATATATATATATATATATATATATATATTATAAATATTCAAATCCTTAAATCATGATAAATTAATGTTCAATAATGTTTATGGATTAAACATAATCTTTTATGTAATTTTTTAAAATAATCAATTAAATTTTTTATATATAATTTTTGTTGTATATTTGATACAAATTTAATCTATAGTAAGATTTAACTATTTTTATACTCTATTTTTACGTTTATTTTTATTTACACTTGTTTTATATATCAATATTTGTTTGTTTGTTTGATAACCTATTAATAATAAAATTGTTTAACAAATGTGTTTTTAGAGCTCTTAGTCATGATTTTGTTTACATTTATTACATTATGTGTGATATATATATATATATATATTAATAAAATGCTTTGATATTTTAAAAATATATATACTATACATGTACTGTATATGTATAGATTGAAATATATTACAAAATTATAGTAAACATGATTGAAATTTGCTAAGATTGCAACTTAATAGAAGATTAATTAATTATAATAAAAAATAAAATAAAATAATTTAAAGATGATTACAAATAGTTATTAAATGAAATGTTAGCTCTTTTTTGTTGATAAAATTATTTTATAACAATACATTGATTTTATATAATTGTTTTTCTAAAAGATTACATTCAGTATAATATATATCAGATTTGGTCGAAATAAAGTTTTTTATTAATAAATTTTTTTGTTTGAAAGTTGTTCTCAAATATCATAAAAATTTTTTAGCACTGATAATGTTGCAAAAGATACGCTCAGATAGCACTGGTAGCACTTAACTACACAACCAGTGATACATACACTACATACCGGTGCTCTCAAACAGAATATTCGAGTCAATATAAATGTATAATATTGATAACAGACTAGTATTAGTAGTTCCCTCTGTTTATTGTCTATCAAAACATAATATTTAACAATTTTGAGGCACTTTTTGGCTTTTTATGGAAGAATTTGTTAACAGATTCTTGTGATTCTTGCAATTCGTGTGACTGTTAAGTAAGTATTGTTTTTTGTTTTGTGAAACAAATATATTATAATTATTACTGATTAGACTCAAGAATCCATTCATTATATATTATTCAATACATTTGTTCAGATTAGACGTTCGCTAAACTATATATATATAAGTCTTTTTCTCTGTTAATTAAAATCGCTTATAGTTTGTTGTGTAACACAAGCGTGAAAATAAAAGTTTGTATTATAAGTGATATCACAATTGAGGCCATTGTTAGCCACCGATGAGTTGTTGTTGGCATCGATGATGAAGACCTACCAATGACTTTGACTTGAAAAGGATCTGAAAAAAAACCAGTGATATATTAGCAGTTGATTTCATTTGATATATTATACATAATAGACAATCACTTTGATTAATGATTCTCAACTATTATTATTATATTTTTTTATTTATATTATAATTTTAATTTTTTCGGTATATATTTACAATGAGATAAACTACAATTTGGAAATCATTGTAGAAAAAATTTAAAATAAAAYAATCATTATTTTCTGCAAACAATTGAATGAAAAATCAAATAAAAGCAATTTTTTCAAACAAAAAACAATTTGCAAAATATGTGAAATGCTAAATAAATGTTGTATTGTTTTTTGGAAATAATATAGTTTAGCCTTTAAATTGAGGATAATTTTAAATTTAAATTTTTTATGTGAAATACTAAACTAGTGTTTTAAAATTAATGCAAAATTTCACTCACGATCCCACACCGTAACCTCAATAATACTAACGGGTAAGTCTACTATCCGTCACTACTTATCAAATATTTTTATTCATAAAACTAATTTTACTATTACTTGTAGATTGAATTTTTCTACTAGTTTTTGAAAAGACTTCAATAAAATATTGTTTTAATTAATTAATATTGTGTTATCGTAAGTGAATTAGTGATGTATGGCAATCACGAATCACGTTTTTCAACTCTATACTAAATTTTATATACTATTTTTATATCAATATAAAAAATAAAATAAAAATTTTTATATAACATATAATCTTATAAAAATATATAATACACTTAATAATATGTTAAATCATCGTTACATTAAACAACAGTATAGTCTAAGTTATTAATTAAAAAAATCAATAATCCTATTGATAAAAAATGTTAAATACTTTATCAATCAATACATAATAGGTTTAAGAAATGGCAATCTGTGATCTAACACAAGAGATTTTTAAAAAAATTTTAACGTAAAAAATCAATATTTTTTGTGTATATATATATATATATATTGAATCAAATGCTTTAAACAAAAATCAATACAATGGCAAGTAATAGCCATACAAAATCATCGACTCTTTTTCACTGTTAACTTATTAATGAATGTTTAGATGAGATAGACTTTAGGGTTTTTTTGATAGTATGTTATGTTATGTGTTGGTTGTATTGCCTGTAATAATACTGTAGACATACCTTCTTGGCTTCTAAACTGATAAAAGGCCTCAAAGCCGGTTCCGTCAAATCTGTCATTGGTTTTAAACGTCACCCGAAAGAAGTCTCCCTCAGAGTCGACCGTTTTGGGCTGTTTGAGACCACAGTGTCGACTTAGTTTGCGGTCAACTGTCCTATAATTTGAAAACTCTACGTAATCGCTGGCCGTCTCTGTTGTGCACCTGAAACATAAGACAATATATATTAATTATATATAGTCTATATTGTATCTAAAAATTATATTATAATTAATGAAACTATTATATTTATTATACATTTATTTATAAATATCTAATTACTAATAAAATTTGTATTTTATATAACTTTATTGTTGGATCTAATGATGGCTGAATATGTAATTAATAATAATAAGTGAATAGACAAAAAACAAAACAAAGCAAAAAAAACGATTTTCAATAAATATTAAATGATAGCATCAAATATAATCACGAGTTTTTATCTAATATGTACTGTAAATTATATATATATATCAGGGTTAATCAAGGTTTACGATTTTATAGGGAGGCATAGGGTGGAGTGAAATTGAAAAAGTCTCGAAAAATCTGTGGGTAAGTGTACTTTTTATTGAACTTTAAAACAACAATTTTTTTCAAAATTCAGGGGGGGGGTCAAGAGAAAAATTTCTAATATTCCACATAAATGTGAGAAAATTCGCAGGAAAGTAAGAAAATATTCCCAATAAATTCCTTAAATTTTAGAAATATAAACTTAAATTCATAAAAAAATCAAGTTTAATTAAGATTATAAAAATAGATCTGACTTTAAAATAATTAAATTTTAAATTATAGTTTATTATTATATGAATTTTAAGATCTTAACGGGTCGTTTCTCCTCGTTTTTAACAACAATTTTTCAGATTTGGTCAAAAAGTGGTAAAATCCCAAAATCTCGATCTTAGGGGTATTTTCGTCATACCCTAACCCCCATTGCTTAACCCTGATATATATTTTTGCTGCTTTAGTCATCATCTGTTATATAAATTATTCACTACTTATTAATTCCAAGTATTTGTGCTTTTTATGACAGATAAGCACTTTTCTGATGTCTTCTCAACAAATGTGTGCCTAAACTACGTTATGAAACAGCGGATGGATATATATCTACAAAACTAAGGGCTCGTATATTATATATTTTATTAAATTAATTCAGTGATACACTTCACGGATATTAAAATTGTCTAATAATTTTCATATGACTAACACATAGATACATATATCAAATAACACAATTAACACCAGTTGAGTGTCTTTTTGTGTGCTTTTTTCTATGAGTTTTATGGATTTCTATAAATATCTCATCGCCTAATATTTTTTAACTATAAGTATGTAATGTATACTATTATACAAATTCCGGGAATAGAAAACCAGAATAATTGATTGAATCATTTTTGTTTTGTTTTATGAATTATAATAACCAAAAAAATGATTGTAAAATAAATGTACTGAAAAAACACAATGAGAGTAAAAATAGCAATTTTGTACGAATTTTAATAAAAAAAATATTGCAATAAAAATATATATAAAAATCTAAAGCAATATTTTTTAAGGTTCAACAAATTTGCGCAAAAGAGAAAATAATAGAAAATAGCTATATATTATTAAATGTATGACTAATATAACGGCTTATCTTAAAATTAATAAATAAATTCAATGATATATCTATATATTTATAAATAGTTTTTTATATAAAAAAGCAATATATATGAGTAAATMTCTAAAASATTTTAATTATTTTAATTAAATCACAAAATTTCAAGAAATTTTCGGTTGAGTTCACTGAGAAAATGTTTGTCCAAATCTTTAGCTTTGATATTAATGGTCTATAAAAAAATACAATATCTGTTATTTGTAATATTAAACAATCATTTTCTGTAACAATTGTCCGCCAAATGGTCAGTAAAATAATGATCAAATTATAAAAAGATTAAAAAAGAGTTGAATTGTTTCCTACAAACATATTATTGTTATTATTATGTTATTTATAAAGTTGTACTTTTCAAGTGATTTGATAAAAGATAAAATAAAATAAAATTTGTCTTTTATTTAGTAAAAAATATTTGATATCTATTTTTAGTTTTCAGAAATCAGCGAAATTGTAACTTCTAATTTAATTATTATTAATAATATTAATTTAATATAAAGTTTTTTACAACATTTATACATATTTATAAATCAATCAAAAGTTTTACTAATATATCAATGGTTGTAATGTAAGGTTTCATTTAAACTTAAATAAAGGAAAATGATAGCAATTAATACTGTATTACATCTATAATATAGATTCTATATATATATATATTTAAATTATCAGTTTTACAGTTGTTTATAAAATTTTGCATTTGTAAATATTGAATTTTAAATTATAGTTATGTAGTTTAATTAATTAATTATAATTAAAAACTAAATATAAATAATTAAACTAAAAATTTATTTATATACGGGATGCTTGTAATTAATTTTAAAAACAAATAAATTGTAAGTCTGTAACATAATATTTAAGGCACAAACATTCATCATACTGTATATTATAGATAATATATTATATATAATATAAATAGTTGATATCATAATTTAAATAAATGTAAAAATGTTAGAAATGATGATCAWATAAATAATATTYATGTATATTATAGACGAATGATTAACCAACAAATACAGACAACTCATAAATAAACTATTAATTGTTTTTTGTACACAAATTCATTACATATAATATTACTGTATATTATACTAATCCTTATATTGTTAGTGAAAAATATATTGCTAAATATATTTTGTTAAAAATTTTTATAACTATTTAATCAAAACAAGCGCTTTGAATAGTAAACAACAGTAAAAATCAGATGTAATTTCGGGAAATAAATAATTAAAAAATAAACGCAAATTGTTAATGAGATTAAAGTTATGTTTCATTATACTTTATATACTGTATATACTGTATATATACAGTACAATTTTATAATGTAATTAATGTTTCTAATAATAAACTGTTTTGTTTTTATTCAACTAATAGTTTAATAAAATATATATATAATATATAATTATACGTAATATATAAATTTGAATTTTAAACTCATGTTTGTTTACACATAATAAATAATAAATGTAACCATTAATGTTAAATAAAGCTGCTTAATTAACTATAAATTAAAATATATAATTTAGTATTAAACTTTTCAATGTACTTAACTTTATTATATGTGTGTCAATGCAGAAAATAAACAAATGATTAATCAAAATCACAATAAATTTTTTATGTAATATTGATTAAAAAAATACAATTATTCAGGTCATTGCGCAAATTATTTATAGATATATTAATCACATAAAATACATTAAAAAATATTATCAAATTTAAAAAAAATTTCAGATGTATTAGTGGTTAATAATTTAATTTAATAAAAATCCAATATCCATTTAACTCACAAATTTAATTTATCTCCCAATTGGTAATCTATGTTAACAACATATATAAATATAATTTCAACAAAAAATAAGTTCAACACTTTTGATAAAATTATGTATACAGTAGTGTTATTAGATTAAGAATTCAATGGGGAATTTATGTATGTTTATGTGTTAATTTTAATTTTAAAAGTTAAAAATTAATATTAAAAAACTGAAGTATTAAACGTTTGGGATCAGCCTTATAATAGATAGTGAAGACTAGTTTCTTATCATAAATAATAATAAATGTTAAGAAAGAGAGAGAGAGAGAAAAAAAATTCAAAATCATTAGAGCAATACATTGGTGTATAATGATTGTGTGTGTGTTTATGTCTAAGTTATAGGTTATATGATATAAATAAAAATCGATAATTTTGGGCAAAACATTAGGATTTCTTACCATTTGAACTATAATTTTCAATGTGTGGCTCACATGACATAACAAATATTAACAAAATAAAGCAATTACTGTTTGCTCTGATATACATATATACTATACAATGTATGCATTCAAGTACTGTATATATTTGTACTTTAATAAATTCAATGCTTAGAAAAATAGGAAACAATTTCAAATATCGGATAAAATAAAAAACGATTTAAATATTAAAATCAGATTTTAAATGTTGACGAATTGAATTTTTTTTCTGTTACTTCAGAAATTGATATTTAAATTTTTTTTYTTAGTTTTTCCAATGAAATATATAGATATTTTTTTGAATAAAATAAATAGTAATTTTCATATAAAAAATAAGCAAAACTTTTTCTAGTCTTAAATATTTCTATTGAAATTTCTTATCACAAACACAACTCTTGAGTAATAATAGTAGATTTTAGTGCTTTTAGATTCAATTGAAACAAAATTTTTTTATTTGGGGGTAATTTTATATACAATTTAAGTAAATACTACTACTGTTATAAACATGTATATCATCTATGAAGCAAATTTGAGACCTAAATTTGGTTATCAGAAAATACACGCTTTAGAAGACAAAATTGTGAAATTATTTCACAGAAATATATTATATAATATATTAAGTTATGTGTGTTTGTGTCATAAAATATAAGTGAAAACAAATCTAAAATTTTTCTTCCGATTTCATTTGAAAAATAACTCATTCTTTGCTTTAAATGGACTCGTAGTTTGGTTTTTATAATTTAATTTTATAATTCAATTTCAAAATTCAATGGATGAAACTCTAGGCATGAAATATAAATATTTACATTTAGACACTAAATGTTAGGACATATATAATTTCTTTTTAAACAAAATAAAAAATGACTACAGATTTAAAACAGTTATAAGCAAACAGAGAGCCACTAATAATCAGTGTTGAATAAAGTCGATAAAAAATGCTATAATTTTTTGTGTTTTTAGCTGAATTTTTTTTAAACAAACAAAATGTGGCCCAAATGGCAAACAAGTAATAAAGAAAAATAATAAAAGATGTGATACTAATAATAATAATAATAAGAGTAGTAATAATAGTAATAGAGATTGATCTGTATGTGTTGTTAGAAAATAGCTAACAGTGCCAACAAAACTATAAGAGAGAGAGAGAGAAGAGAGAGAGAGAGAGAGAGAGAGAGAGAGAGAGAGAGAGAGAAAGAGAGACCCATCATATATAGATGTTAATTATGTGATCACTAGAGGTATATGTAATATACTGTCTATAAAAAAAATATATTTATATATCATATAAGACTTACGGTGT